ATTCGTCACTCTTGTCTCTACAGAGTGAGTTATGATGTGTCCTGTGATTGATAATCCCACCAGCTGTGAAGTTTGCGCTCTTGTTTGCTTTCTTCATGCTATGAACACATGCTGCTGAAATCCTTTGTCAGTTATATGCACTGTTGATGGCCAAAATGTAATGTTGAGGAATTGTAAGATAATGGTGTAGAATGTTCAAAGATGGGCAAACAAATGTTCATGATGAAGAGCGAAGTGGTTGGCTGTCTGTAGTGAGTGATGATTTTGTTGACCAAAAAAAATTATGAGAGATGGCACTTCACAATTTCAGAACTTTCATGTGAATTTCCACAAATTTCACACACTGTTCTCTATGAGATTATCACAGTTAGGCTAGGCTATCACAAGTTTTGCACAAGATGGGTTCCAAAAATGCTCATGGGTGCACACAAAATAGAGAATGGCTTCAGCTTTGACTTTTTAGAGTAGTACCACAAAGATTGCAATGAATTTCTCAGTCACATGGTATGAGTAACAGGTGATGAAACCAGAAAGCAATCAGAGTAGTAGATTGACACACATTCACCAAACAAGCTGAAAAAGTTTAAAGAAATGTCTGCCAGAAAGCTAATGGCAACTGTTTTCTGAGACATGAAAGGAGTGCTGATGGTGGTGAAATTAATGCAACAGGGGACCACAATAACATCAGAAGCATATTATGAAACAGTAGAAAATCTGCATAGGGCCATTCAGAGCAAAAGGCATGGAATGCTGACATTGGGTATAGTGGTCCTTCATGACGGTGCACGTCTGCATACAGCTGCTTGCACTCAAGCACTGGTGGAGCATTTCGACTGGGAGTTGTTGGACCAACCTCCTTACAGCCCTGATATTGCTCCAAGTGACTACCACCCATTTACCTACTTGAAGAACTGAATAAAATTACAGTGCTTCAGCAGTAACGAGGAGTTGATGTCAAAATGTGGCTGACTTCTTTGGCACAGGCATGCAGAAACTTATTCCCTGATACGAAAAGTACCTCGGTTCCAGCAATGACTACATTGAGAAGTAGCTTCAGTACATATTTCTTGTATATAATAATTTTTTCTCTTGTTTCTTGTTTTGTTAACAACTCACTAGAGGTTACTTTTTGAATAGCCCTTGTATGGGAGCATGTCATATCAGCAGACTTCTGGTGTAATGTTTATTTGTGAATGACATTAACAAGTCAAAATGAAATTAAGAGCAAATTAAATTTGAGAAATGGTTGCTATCATTCAATTCAGACTTTTGCTTTCTTATGCCTCTTTAAAAAATAAAGGATTAAAATTTACAAAAAATATAATTTTCCCTATTGTTTTTTGGTATGTAAGTTGGTCACTCTTTCTGAATGTACCAACTTGTGTTTTGAAACATAAATACATATTCTGCAATATTTATTTTATTTGGAAGCAAGTGTGTGTCAAACCCAGGAACTCTAACCACTAGACCACAGAGGCAGCCCTTGATTCAACATACCATTACATATTATCAGAAAAACCCCTGATTAGACTTATGATTTAAAGATTTTTCTAAAATTCTTAGGACTCGTATTAGGCAGATGTGTTATCAGATTGTACTGTGTTTCTTAAAAAAATGTTTGTTAGATGATTGAGGAGCAGATTGCTTCAGGTATCAGATCCCATTCACTGCTTATCAAGTCATAACAACTGTAGACTGTAAGATTTGAGGTTTTCATGGCGGTGACTATGAAGAATGCCGTCTTCTGGGATGTGGCACCGTGTAAATCTTGTGTGAACCGTTCACGCAAGATCTGCATGGTACCACATCCCAGAAAATGGTATTCTTCAACTGTAGACTAGTTTTGAAAGATTTTATTGTCACTTCAAAATGTATGTTAATTTCCTTGTTGTGAAGTCTACAGGCTTTCATGTCTGAAGTCAGAAGCTGTGCATGTTATATGAAACGTGTAATTGCAGATGGCAGGGGTCAGTTTTAGTAATTACATATATATATATATATATATATATGTGTGTGTGCTGATATTAATGATAATGGTGTTTTGGGTCTGTGGCTTGTGCATATCTCTATTACAGATGCCACTTCTCAAGTTCCAGGCCAGAACCTAGTAACCAAATTCACTCTCAGGTTAGGATAGGGGAATCTCCATTAACTTTAATATAAGTTGCATTAAGAATTATTTTATTTTTGTTCTTCACATAGTCCCCCGTGAATGGCAGATGGATCTGTCCTGTAACAAATCAACATTATGGCACAGATTGTTTCTCAGTGTGATATTTCTCTGAATTTTGAATGCTATGTTCGAGAAGTTTCTAGTCCTGAGAAGCTTATGAGGTAGCAGACCTGTTATTCTGTGTGTTTGTTTGTGGTGTTTTATAGCACTTTGTATATTACCATCTTCTGTTTAACACACATGATCTTAGATTAAAATCGCCTTATGCTGGTGATCCACAGTTTGATCTCCAGTGCTTCTGACGTTGGTTACTTTAGATGGGCCACCAGAAGACTGACTATGAATATTTATTCCTTGACTGCCCTGTACTTCATTGTCCTGTTGTCTGGTAGAGAAATTTTAGATTTCTAGAGGAATATTTGGTGTCATATGCACAGTACAGGTTGAAAAGAACTAAAATATATAAGTTCCTGAATTACAGCCATCTAAATATGCAAGGATCAAACTGTGTCAGGTGTGTTGTATGGGTGTGAATCATGGTCTCCCATGGGAAGAACATAAATTGAGAATGTATGAGAACAGGTTGCTGAGGAGAATATTTGGACCTGAGAGGGGGGAAAAGTGACATGAGGTTGAAGAAAATTGCATAATGAGTAGCTTCATAATTTATGCTATTTGCAGAATATTACTTAGGCTATCAAATCAAGGAGAATGAGCTACTTTGTTCATGTATATGAGAGATAAATTATACATAAATTTAATCAGAAAATCTGAAGGGAAGATACCACCAGTCAGACCAGTTCTGTTCAGCCAGGACACTGACTGTCACAATTGAAATTTTTCACGTTTTTCGTCAATCCTTCCAGGAANTTTATGTCCATGATTTATTCTGACCGTCTTACAGTGCATACATTTATTCACCTTACTCTTCTCTCTTGCACTACATGTTTCGGCACTAAAGTGCCATCTTCAGGTGCTTTTCGATGTACGTCAAACTACTGCATTGCAGTATAACACACGCAGTCACAGGAGTAAGACACAACACAAAGCACAATACACATGAAAGTAAGAAGAATACTCCGACAGAAGAAGATAGGTGTGACTCGCGTACTGAAACATGGCATAAGAATGACAGTTTTAACATTTTTATTTAAAATTTAGCAATATGTATGACGAATATATAGGTTAGTTATTTTAGTATAAAGACAACAGGGCATGCAATGCAGTAGTTTGACATACATCGAAAAGCACCTGAAGATGGCACTTTAGTGCTGAAACATGTAGTGCAAGAGAGAAGAGTAAGGTGAATAAATGTATGCACTGTAAGACGGTCAGAATAAATCATGGACATAAATCAGTGCAACAGGACGCTAAAATATAACATTCTTCCAGGAAAATTCTAGGATAATGCTACTATTAAGCCATGACCACTTCCTTCCATATCCTTTTCAGTTCATTATTCACCATTCATCTCATCATTTTACACTGTACAGTTTGAGATACTCACTCATGGAGCTGAGCCCTTCTTCAGAAGCCGCAAATTGTGAAGCTACTCAAGAACTTCCCAGTATTTTATGGAACCTGAAGATTCATTACCGTGTTCACAAGAGCCCTCCACTGGTCCCTATCCTGAGCCAGATCAATCCAATCCATACCATCCCATTCTATCTCTCTAAGATCCATTCTAATATTGTCCACCCACCTACGCCTTGACCTTCCCTGTGGTCTCTTTCCTTCTGGCTTTCCCACCAGTATCCTATATGGATTCCTCTTTTCCCACATTCGTGCTACATGCCCTGCCCCCTCATCTTCCTTGTCTTGATCATTCTAATTATACTTGGAGAAGAGTACAAGTTATGAAGCTCCTCATTAAGCAGTTTTCTTCAACCTCCTATCACGTCCTCTCTTCGGTTCTTATATTCTCCTCAACACCCTGTTCTCAAACTCCTGCAGTCTATGTTCCTGCCTTAATATCAGAGACCAAGTTTCACACTGATACAGAACCACAGGCAAAATTCATTTTGTGTATTCTAATTTTTCAGTTTGAGATACTGGCCTTCATAAAGTAAATCACAACCATCACATACCATAGGAGAAAATTTTCTGTCTCCTGCCCATGGATGATATTGTCTCTTTCTTGCATTGTCATTTCAGGCACTTCTCACATTGTTATTACTTTTAACATCTCAAATTTTGCATCACCTGTTTCTGTTACTCATGCAACCTGTAACAGTTGCAGATTTAAAATTGATGATCCTGTGAAAAGGATGGATGGAAAATAGGATTTTGACATCAACAGACAGGGGATGGAAAATCTCATTCTATAGTATGTGTCTCAATCTTCATGGTGACTGTTAAAAAAATGCTCTACATTGAATACTGTGACATTTTATTTATACCGAAAATTCAGTGAATGACTTCCACATATGCGCCCTGCATATTTACTCTTTGATTACTTCCTTCACAGACATAGATTAATAATTAGCAGTTCAGTGGGCAGCACTTCTGCATCCTGCTTAGGCGGTCATGGCTCACCATGGCCACCATGATATATTTTCCTCAGCCCTTAAGGCAAATCCTGTGAAAGTACTTCAAATTCAGCTGCAGTTACTTCTTTTCATATTCTTTCCAACTATTTGTTCACTAATAGTTCTACCATTCACTGCTGTATGGTTTGAGCTACTAACAGCATCTTTAATTAAACATAAAACAATCATCAATTGCTGTAAAGAATACACATTTTAGTGTATATTTCTGTGTAAGCTAATAGGCCTGGTGGCAATTCATTTTTGATTTACTGTTGCCATTATAAATCACATTATTGCAGGAACGTCCATTTACATCAAGTGCACCCCCATCCAATGTTCCATCATCTGTGGAAAGCACACCAGGAAGATGGATACCAGGTGTAAAAGAAGGATTGATGGGTGTCTCCCTTCCTGGTACACCATTAAGCACAACAAGTCACCTCAGCAATCGTTCGAGTGGTGATAGTTACAGTTCTAGCAGCTCTACTCGACAGCTGTTAGCAGCTGCAGGTGGCCACCATGACATTAACAACAGTCAGGATAAATCAGTGCAATTGTAGGTAGTAAATGCAGCTTAAGGATTCTTCTGGTCATTTTCATTATGAAATGAAGAGGAAGAGGAGGATGAACAGATGGATGAGTGAATGAATACAAGATGGGTATTGCATGTAGCATTCTTGGGAGAAGTGGAAAGTGCATACAAATTTTGGTCAGAAGTCCTTAATTGGCAGACTAACTTGGTCTAGGCATAGAATGGAAGACAGTAAGTATTAAAATGGGTCTCAGATAAGTAGGGTGGGAGGGTGTGGACTCAATTTGGCTGGGGTCAGGGACCAGTGACAGGTTCTAGTGACCATGGTAGGAAACATTGGGGTTCCTCGAAGGTGGAAAGACATTTCTGCTGTTGCAGAGTTGTCTTAGCATTTAGAATTCATCTTCCACAAGCAAATAGTGTAGCATATTGAAAAATGGCTAGTGTTATAAAATATAAAATTAGTGTACTAGAGAAAATTCTCACTTCTGTCTTCTCAGATTTTTTCCAAATATCTTGAACTGAAGAAGTTATTCTCACACATGTCTAATATGTGGCTTAGTTTACATTCCTTTACAATTATTATTATTATTATTATACATTTCTGTTCTTTGTTCATTGAAATATAGAAAATAATCATGTGACTTTAGCATGGAACTGTGCAAGAACTTTTGAAGACAATTGTACTGCATTGTGTCAAGATATTAGACTAGCTGTTTCTGGTCTGCTTGAGCTAATCATGTCAGGTCCAATATACAACAGCAATTAAATGGAAGACTCTCTGTTTCTGTTCTAAGAACGTTTATGGACATTATAGGAATTCTGCTTTGTATTGGATGCTTTCATCGTTGACGGGATATGCAACTCGGCCAGCGCAGTCAAAATGTAACTAACACTGTGTTCAGTTGCAGTGCAAGGTGCAGCATCACTCTTACTATCGGAAGTATTATAGGTTTTTCACTTGCTGGATGAAGCTTCCTCAAATTATTATGCCAGTTTCAAACCTGTATGTGTTTTTACACGCTGAACAAAAATCATGCTGGAGTGATTATTACTCTGACTTAGTACTGTGGATGTTCTTGGTTGAGATCTTATCCTGGAAAATGGCCTTCCCATTGAAGATCATTCATGGTGTTCTCAAGTCCTTCAAGGCAATTAGCAGGATAATACCTCCAATTCCGTACACACTAATCACCCTGTCATTTGATGCTATGTAGAGATAGTAAAAGTATCCCTAATTAGACCTACAATAAATACATGGAAATAAATTATGTTTACTTAAAGTATTACAGACATTCTGGACACTTAGCTGTGGACTAAAGTCACAGTATTTTACAGAAGGAGGGTAATTTTCAAATTATTTGACAATATTTGATTACACATGATATGCAAGGACAGGACACATGTGACTGCAAATCATTCTACTGTAAAATTCTTGACAAAAAAGATGGAAAGACATAGACTTCATCTCCGAAGTTCTTAGACATTTGTTGCAGTCCATACAAAACAAAGCTACTGGAACAAATTATCATGTTTAGAGTGCAACATGTGATAGTGTGTTTATTGCTGCTTCAGACTTTGTCATGCAAAATAGCCTTTCTGAGACTACTGACACTACATTGGCAATAAGTTAGCCTAACATTTCTGGCAGGTTCACCCTCTATTTTTTGTCTTGAAAGACATAAGATTTATCAGTAAAATTTATCAGACGCAAAATTTGTTTAATTTTTCTCTGCTGCTTTTGTTCAGAATATTTTCTCTTTGATAAATATTTAGTGAGTTACACAGAAAAACAGATGTACAGACTCATGTAAAGTGTCTGTATTTGTTATCTGATTTTAACTAGAATGGAAATTTTTTGTTAAATTTTCTGTAAACCCCCTAAATGACAGATTTCATGAAAATCTGTTCGGCGGTTCTCATGTTTACAGATGGACCATCTGACAAGAGAATCTAATAGGCGCATTTTTGCAAATTTTTATTTCAGGTTTATCAGAAATGATACTTAGGCTCCAAAGTATAGAGCCACATTAGTTAGTCAGAGCTGTAATTCTACTTGAAGATGAAGATTGGGGAATCGAGATGGCCATGATGCCAAAACTCCACTAGACTTTCTCTTATGAGAACTTGTTAAGGATAATGTGTATTTTCCACGTTTACTTGCAGACATTGTTGATCTGCAGGCAGTAGTTAAATTGCAGTTGTAGAAGTCATGTGAGACAAGCTACATCACACCAGGGAAGAAAATCATTATATATGGGATGTTTGATGTGCTACATGTGGAAGTCAAATTGAACTGTAACTCTGATACATCAGACAAAGCTTGATGTACTGGGCTACATTTCTGTATAGTTGGTATTTATTTACCACTTATTAATAGATGTATATCCTTTCAAAGTTGCTCAAATCATATGTGGGAAATGCAAGCAGGAATTATAACACTACAGCCATTTGCTGGCTTCAGATGTTACCAGTGAGAGCAGAGAGTATAGACAATTTATAATTAAAGTACGATTTTATATCTCATAACAGGGGAAGACATACAGTGTTGACATCTATTTTGGGCTGGCTGATCACCCATTCCCCTGTTTTAATGAAGACTGTCTCTTTATTTGTTCGCTGATAATCCTGTTTCCAGCTTTGCATAATATTTCTGTCTTGTAACATTGTATTTTGATTTTTCATCCCAGGAATGTTCTGATAATTTTGATTTGGTTATTCCATTTTTTATTCCATGCATGTTTAGCGATTCTGGTGGTTAGTGGTCTGCCTCTTTCTCCTGTACATCTTTTTTCACATTCCCATGGAATGCTCTGTATGCAGTTCTTGAACTCTTGTATCTCAGCACCCTTCGTGGTTACATGATTGTTTGAATTATGTTTTTGGCTGTTGCTGAGGTCTTGATTTATGAATCTTAGTGGGTACCCATTTCATATTAATGTGGCCCTTAGAGCTTCTTGTTCCTCTTTTAAGCTGTCTTTTTATGCATATAGCTTTTGCTCTATCGCTTAGGCATTCAATTATGCCTTGCTTGTTACTGAGTGGTGACTGGAGCTGTAGTGTAGGTACTGTCCATTGGGTTCCTGTATACACTGATCTTGATGATTCTGTTACTTCTTTCAACAGCACATCAAGGAGGGGAAGTGTTTGAACTGTCTCTTGCTTTGTGATATACTTGATTGTTGAATTTCAACATTTAGGTTGTCCAGGAATCTGTCTAGGTTGCATTCACTATATGTCCATATGGTGAATATTGTCTACAATTCTGAGCCAGATTTCACGTCTGAAGTCAGTCTGTTCCAGAGCTGCCATTTCAAAGTTTTCCATGAACATGTTGCTTATTACAGAAGATAGTTTGTCTAATAGACCCACCTGAGTAGGATCCTTTCCCTTTTTTTTTTTTTATGCCTGATGACAGGAACAAATACAGCTTCCAAAACATATAATTTTAAATACGCCTAAGACAATGAACAGTGTCGAGCAAAATAATTTTATAATTAATAATAAACCACTGTCACAGACCTTTAAGGAACAAGTAAATTGTGTTTCCTATTCTAAGGTAATGTTAGCTGATTTTCTTTTGATATTAAAGCTATAAGAGGAACCACTGTAAACTAGAAATGCTCAGGTAAGAACCAGTGTCAGGTATTACATATTCAGTTCCTGTAATGATAACAGTCCATAGGGAACTCTGTTGATCATTTGTTATTAATAAAACTTAGACACAAAAATCGAACTCAGTACATGACTTTATATGTACTTCACATGTGAGTAAGCAGTACTGTATATTCATAAGAATTAATGGTCTAATAATGTGATTTTTATGCATTCTTTTCCCATAATATACAAAATTGTGATTTCACATTCATGTTTCGTATCCTGAAGTACATGTTGCTTTGTTTAATGCAAGCTTGTTATTGGAGATCTGCACTGAAATTTGTCAGATGAATTTAATTCTGTTTCTGTCAGTCAAATATAAACTCTACAGAAGACTCATACTGAATAAGCAAACGTTACAATGACAATGAAAGTATCATTGCTTAGCAATGGCAACCCCCATATGGAGGTGGGGTCGAATACCACTACTGTGACCCTGTGAATCGTAGGAGGTAACAAAAATGGAGGTCCCAAATCTGAGACAGTAAAATATGGTCGAGAGTTGCAAGGGAGTCTGACCCAAGAAAGACTGCGCTGGCAAGGACCAGCAGCATATACAAAAGACAGACCCATCCTCTCATCAGAGAGGGTGCCCCACCAAAAACAAGAGTGTAACTGTCAAACAGTAATAAATATCTGGGGACTCGACACCAAGACCTACTGACTGACTGTCAGTCACTATGTGACTTTGACTTATTGAGGGGCAGTGTGGTGTGGGTGTTTCAAGCAGTAGTATTGTTGGTACTATATTATTAGTCTTCAATTCTTCAAATACTGTGCATCTGTAATAAATATTTATAGAAGAGTTCAACAAGTGGTTGTCTCTTCATATATTGACATTCCACAAAGGTTCTGTTTGGGATTTACCAGCACTTCTAGGAACATACTGCCCTCCATCTTAAGGACTTAATCCTGAAGGTGGAAACAGTATATTTCTCTGAAACATCAGTAAACCCATACAAAACCACATGTTGTTACATCCTAAAAGATAGAATTCCTCATGGGCACTGGTATGAGAACCTAAGATCTCAGAAGTTAGGAAATTTATGCACAGCATAGCAATTCTGGTATGTTCACTATTTTTTCATTTAATTATCTCTAAAGAAACAAACTTTACTTTTAATAAAGTTGACACTTTGTAGCAGCATGTTCAGCTGTTACAGATACAGGTTTGAATTTTACACATAGCATAGCAATTCTATGGTGTTCACTCACTTTTGTTTAACTGTTCACAGGTATGGCTGTGTTCCATCAAAATGAGTTTGACATACCATTACTTACTCTGATTTAGGCCACGCCACAGCTCAAGCGGTTAGTCGCTGGCTTCCCACTGTGGTGGCCCGGGTTCAATCCCGGGTCTGGTCAAGTGGGATTTGTGGTGGACAAAGTGGTGCTGGGGCAGGTTTTCTCCGAGTACTTCGGTTTCCCCTGCCAATCTTTATTCCATCAGTTGCTCCACAATCACCCTCACCTATCATCTGGGGCTGGTACAATAGGCCAGAAGTGGCCGCAGTACAAGGGACTTAGTCCCACCCCACTAGCAGTAAAAAAAATACTCTGATTTAAATCGCATATGGCTCCTGAGTGTGATGACCTAGAGAGCTGGAACTTTTACAGTTGTAAATAGTAGCACTATGCAAGACAAATCATAGTACCTGCCATCTATCCAGTTTTTCTCCATTGCATGTGCTCAGAAGTTGAAATTGCAGCAAGTAGTGTGAATTGTAAGTGTGGGACTTTAATATGCCAAATTCTTGGCAATATGATGCACATACAGTATAACATTAGTTTACAGTATAATCACAGGGTTTTTTTTTATATTGAAGATTTTCATTGTAAAATATTTATGGAGTTACACTGCGAAGAAATCCTACTCAGGGTAGGTTACACCACAGCAGATAGAACTCCCCAGGCAAATTGATAATTGTAATAGAAATGAAGACTTATGGACATAAAATGTATGCTTCATTTTTCTCTGTCTTTAGTTTGTTTGCTGCAATAAATTTTTAGCGAGTTATGCGTACAATACACACCGAAACATGTATGTTTTCATGTAAAATGTCTGTTACTGTTACCTGATGTTATTCACAATTGAAATATCAACAGACGTTAGTAAAACCTCCCAAAATAAAATTCTTTTGAAATGTGTTTGGTGTTTCTCAAGTTGTAACATGGACAGAAAGATATGGTGAAGCTAATAGGCAAAGTTTGCAACTTTCTGTTATGATCATGCCAAGAATTAGCACATCACATAATATGTAGATCTCTGGGATCTCTAACTTCTATCTTAAACAATTTTGATATGGTCTATATGTAACAAAATAAAGGAAGTACAGCATATATCTTTCTGACATTTAGTACATGCACTGTTGATTAGGGGTCACCAGTAGGACTTGTATCAGCCCTTAACAAATACAAAGAGGGGTGCAGAATTGACAAAAGAATTAATTTGTAAAATATGTATAGTCCAAACTGGAATATACCTTTCTGTTATTTTAAAAGATAGATTTGCAGTAAAAGTAATATAGAAAGCTGAAACATATTTGTTGGCCATGTGAGTGTATTGCTTGTAGATATTAATGCATTGAACAAAATAATATTACAGTGAACTCCCCATTATCTGGTATGTAAAGGGAAAGATGGGCATGCTCGTTACATGAATCTACCAGTTACATATCAGCTCTACAAAAACCCAATACAAAGTCAAAACATGTTTTTGCTTTACTTCTTACATGGGTGTCTTCCTATGTGATGTAGCAAATTCATGGGCTAAAGATTTCAATATATTGTCATGTGTTGGGTGTGTCACGCGACAAATAACTTCACGTGGGTCTCAGATATAGTGAATCTTTATTGGACACTCACACTTATACACCATACAGTTATTATCACTTGTGGTATCATGTGACTTCTGTGACGTTTCAACTAGGTTCCAACTGTCTTGTATGAAGGCTAATTAGCTCTGTGGCTTATGTAGGTGTTCTGCGGACCGGATACAAGACACCATTTGCCAAAGTTTGATCTTGCGTGTTCAGCAATCTGTTGCTTCAGGAACGCTCTTTATACGCTGGTAACATGTTTCGTCCCATCCATTTTTACTCAACGGCCTTCTGTTGTTCATCTCTGGGGGAACATGTTCATTGTTTTGGCATTGTCTACGCAACGGCTCAATGTTTTCGCGTCACCATGGAAGTATCTACTCCAGACACGTTACAATGCTCTGTGGTAGACAGAAGAGTTCAACCTGATATTTGGTTAATACACCCATGTCTGGAAACGCTTCCTTCTGGCACTAAGGGTCACAAAAGTGTCCGAGAGAATGCATAAGTATTAGGGGATGTTATCATTGTTTTACATTATAAAAGTTACTCAAAATGGTGGCCACCAACTTCATTGCATGTTCTGCACCACCTGGCTATGTTATGCTGAACTGTTTGAAAGATTCCTGGCATTTCCTGGATGGTTCCAGCTGCTACTGCAATTCTTACCATAAGATCATGTCGTCTCCACTGGAAATTAGTACAGCAGGCTTTGCATGTACTCCCAGAAAAGAAATCCAATGGAGTTAAGTCAGGGGAGTGAGGACAGGTTATTGGGCCTCCACATCAAATCCATCTGTCGCCAAAGGTTTCATCTAAATAATCACGGACGTTAGTGCAGTGTGCTGGGGCACCATCATGCTGGAACCACATTTCATGACAGACTTCCAAAGGCACCACTTCCACCAGCTCAGGTGAGGTCTCATGGAAAAATATTAGGTAAATGTCATCAGTAAGCCGCATAGGTCAGAGGTAAAGGCCATTAGATGGACATTGATAACCCCTGCCCACACATTGACGGCGAAGCAATGTTGGTGGCTTTGGATATTCTTTGCATTAGGATTTTTTTGAGCTCATACATGGCTGTTTCTTGAGTTGAAAATGCCATCCTTGGTGAAGGTCGTCCTTCACATTTCAGAAGCCCTAATGTGTAAACAAAGTCTTTCCATCCATAGGTGTATTAACAAAATATGAGCAGATTGAACCCATCTATCTACCACAGAGCATTGTAACATATATTTATTTACACCCTGCATACTGTAACATAATCATGAATTCATCTACCCTTTACTATAATAGCACTTGCCTGGAAGAGGGTGACAGGTAGACCTGCTAGTGAAGGTATGCACTTCAAAAATCTGTTTTGAATAACTATATTTGCCTTGAAATTTTGTGCTAGGATTGTGAGAATTCCAAATGCTTTGATACTGGATGACTGGGAGTTTCTGTATTTACTACTTGGTGTAATTTCATGCTAGCTGAAGTAGTTAATACAGTGGAGAACGTGTCTGAATGTACTTACTTGAGATTGTATTTCTAGCATCCATCTACTCTTTCCAATAATGCATAAAATATCTCCAGACTACTGTATTCTAAAAGTTCAGAATTTTAATTTTTTATAAGGAGATATGTATACTGGTTTTAGTTTATATAGCTCATAAACACCGTGGAGATCATATGTATGTATATATATATATATATAGTACACACTTTATACAGATGGAATATGTGTCCTTGCTTCATGGCACTGTGCCATTATAAGAACATTCTGGGATGTTTAGTCTTTCCAGTTGTCCTGCCAGTAATTTCCAGGCTCTTGAAACTCTGTAATGCTTCAAATGTAGGTGGGAGAATAGATTTGTAGGCCACTGGGAGGGGGCAGCATGTAAGACTTAACCTTATCACCATTTGAGCCAACTGTCTTAAAGAAAATGTGGGAACCTCAATGTCTCAGAATCCTATGGCTTGTTACAGGGATAGCTTTACCTTTACCTTCCCCCCCCCCTGGCACTACAGCCCCAGTGGGCCTAGGCCTACCTCCATGAACTTCTCCGTTCACTTCAATTTTCTAGATCTTACACAATCGGTAGGACTCCTTGGGCAGGTGATGAACTCATCGCAAGGCATCTACCTGTACACACAAACTAAACATCCATGCCCTGAGTGGGATTCGAACCCACGATCCCGGTTTCCAAGTGAGTGAACAGTACATGCCACCTTTACCTTTATGGGTTACAATATACTGGCCTGCATCCACCACTCACTAATGCGGCAACAATTTCATTAGATGCATTCAATAACTTTCTCAATAAAACTGTCTTAAATTTCTTGCAGCCATTTGTCCCCATGGAATTTTAAATGCTGTTTACATACAACCTTAATTATACAAGAAACAAAATCTGAACTCATGCTAATTATATAATTACAAAAAGCATGCAGATTGGAAGTATGCTAGCCTGATCCCATAGCTTCTGGAAATTCATGTATTTCCCTATCAGTCAAAAGTCAACTTGGCACTGGGAAAGGATCACAGCCTAGGAAACATAAGGCAATAACAATGTCTGAAAACCTTTATTAACTGTATGATGTAGTACAGAATTTCCACTCAGTCACTGAAAATGACACAAGAACTTAAACCACCTGTGCCAGTTCCACCTGTACCTTCTTCCAAGACTCAAGAGGCCCATGCTCTGGTCGATACTTCACATTGCAACCATCTGCAGTTAGACGACCCTCATCACGCAATTTTTCATATACATCACGTTCATATTTAGTGAAGCCCCATTTCTTTGATACATAGATCTGCAAATTAATACAAAGTTATTAACAGGATTTCTGATGAGACACTTCAGCTCTGGGTCTTGGACATCTATGATTCAAGTTCAAGTGTGTTGAATGCTTCCATTTCAGATTACTTTTTCTTTATCATTCAAATCCACTGTTCATCAACAAAATCTTAAACCAGAATTTCGCTAGAGCTCTGCTATATCTACTTCTGTGCATAAGACAACCATTCCTACGCTACTGAAGCTAATTTGACCTACTCTATATAGCAACTTCCAGTTTTAGGGTGCAAAGTTCAAGCACGAGCTGGCATACACAATAAGGTTTTCTTGATGTTTCAGACTCAAAATAAAATTTTACACGTCTCACCTTTTGGCGACCAGGAAACTTAAACTTAGCTCGCCTCAGAGCTTCAACAACTGCTGCTCTATGTCGGTCACTAGTCCTTACACTCATGATGGGTTGCCCAATACGGACACGGGCCACTGTACCCTGAGGTTTTCCAAAAGCACCACGCATCCCAGTCTGGAGCCTACAAAGTAATTTCAGTTTCACATTACAGCTATTCACTTTGGAACTGCAAGGGGTTTACCACATACCACATCTGGGATTTTTATTTTTATTTTTATTCTAGTTTTCCTTCTCACACTGGTTTGGTTTGGATTGTTTAGTCAGGATAGGCTACCTAAGCTTACACAGACTCAAATCTTGTTCTGCCTGTTATCATTCTGGTTTCTATTCTTGGGCTTGAAACTAAGCATGCATTATAATTATGAGCAAAAATTCTGTAACTGGGCTAATGTTTACTTCAAGATTCATAAAGCCAATTCAAGGAATAATGTAGAAATGCTAAAGTAGACATTCCCAATTGGTTTTCCTTATCAGAGCTGGCTAAATTAAAAATTTAATCCAGAAGACTGGAGAAGTAAATATAACAAACCTATCAGCTCCAGCACAGGACAACATCTTGTTGATTCGGATCACATGGAAGGGATGAAGTCTCATTCGAATATGAAACTGGTCCTTCCCACAGTTCTTCACCATATACTGTAATTCATATGTGCCATGTGAAGCAATGTGTACGAATAATGATTGATATAATGAATACATTCCACTGATAGCAAATAAAAAGTGATACACCTTTACAACATAGCAGACTCCTACTTATTCTGCATCTACTAGCACAATGCTCTCATGTAGTTATGACTGAAATATTTTTGGCTATATTAATGGGCCTACAATACATATTTTTTTCAGGCTCATTGCACTTGAATACATTTGTCTAACAAATCATAATTTACAATTTCTTTATTAAAACCGTCACAACACAACTATATCAAGGTCAGTGCCTAGTTTGGCTCTGCTACAAATCATAATTTGTTAACAAGTTACTTTATTTTAATTGACTTAATGTTTATGTCATCTAGTAAGCATAAAAAAATGAAATGAAACACTCAACCACTCAAAAATTTGTGAAAACAAATTTAAGAACATTCACTAATAAAAGGTTCTTCAAAGTACTTACAATTCCCTCATTTTATCATACATTAATACTACTAAAAAATTACAATTTTTTTGTAGTGGGTATGCTTCTTAATGATGAAAATTCATAACAAAGCCAGCTTATTATTTTGGCAACAAGCTACAACTGGATAGGGTATAGTACCTTCTCTAATTCTACCGAACTGAGTCAAATTTGGGACTCCTGCTTGGCAGTGATCAGTCCTAAAGATTGTCTAATCTCTTTGTAGTACTTCCAAATGCCGATAGTTTCAATAAAACCACACAACACGTATTTTAGAAAAAAATATAATTTACCTTATTAGCACAGATTCTGCCCGCCTCAAGCGCTTCAGATGACAGCTGTTCATACTCATCTGACACGAGATGCACACACAGAGGGAAGTCTTCAACACGGGCCTTCTTTCTTCCCAAGTCAAAAATACGAATCTTTGGGTCTGGCACACCACGGCAAAACCGAGATTTTGGATATGGCTTGTTCTTACAATATCGATAACTGAAAATTGACACCATTAAGGCAAAAATGAACTCTTGACTACTTAACATAATAAACCCAATATACTCACTAAATTAGATAACCACAACACTGTTCTTCACAATACCAAACGTATTCGTATGTAACATAATACATATTTTAATCACCATTAATAACATTAGGGAAGCTTACCATCTTGCAGGTCTTCGCCCCATATCTGCCTGCAACTTAACAACAGTACAAATTACAAGACAAGGTATAATACACAATCCAGCAAATTATACTGTATATTTTTACATAAACAGTATTTATACATGAGAAAAGATAAACAGGATGAATTTCGATTTATACGATTAACAAAATCTCACCTATATTATTACACCACCTGGCTGAAATATGACTACCACTGTTAACGGATGTACAGCATGAATCAACCTACCAACGTTACCAAGCAAATATCCTTGCAGATCCTAAAGGGTTCTGACCGTTCTGACGATGGTGTATAATACTGTGACATGGCTAACCGTTGCTGGGCAACGGAAGGTGGAACGAGTTACCACGAAGACAGACACTTGATAAAACACAGAGTCACGCAACAAGGGAGCCCGTGCAGCGACTGTTGCTATGCAATCGGTAAACAAGACGTCATTTCCTTGTTATTATCAACATCTACTTCATTGATATCTGTCTGGTTTATAGATTATTTTGAACACGTTAATTTTGATTTTCCTGTAGTAGCACTATAAAATCTTTAGTTCTAATTTTAAAATCCTTTAAAATTTTCTCTAAATTTTAAATTTAAAATTGTTAGGGTTACTCGCCCTATGTCTAAAGTGCTGCAGCGACTAGTTCTTGTTTCCACACTGTACAGGTGTTATTCTGTGTATTCTTCCTGTGTGCGTGCCGCTGCAGCACTTTAGACATAGGGCGAGTAACCCTAATAGCCGAAACATGTAGTGTAAAAGAGAGCAAGATCAAGGACATATAATATATATTGTTTGCACTTGGGACGGAGTTTGTATCATTTATCGTGTAGAGTGCAACAGGATGCTTAAATAAAATACTACATAACAGGAATATTCGTCAGTGACCAGAGCAGGGTGGAGGCGGGGTTGAATACCTCCACCGTAATCCTGCGAGTCGTAGGAGGCGACGAAAATGGAAGTCTCAAATCTGAGACAGGAAAATATGGTCGCAAGTCCCAAGGGACTTAGACCCAAGAAAGAATACACTGGCAAGGGCCAGCAGCATATACAAAAGACAGACCCGTCCTCTCGTCAGAGAGGGCGCCCCACAGAAGCAAAACCGTAATTGTCAAACTGTAATAATTAGTATCTGGTCATGAGCCCCAGATGGGGCTCGACACCAAGACTCACTCACTGATTGACTGACCGTCAGTCGCAATGTGACTTTGACTTTGACCAGAGTAACCAAACCAGTCAGTTCCAATCTAGCAGTCGCCGAGTTGGCTTGTATCGAGTGCATGGCAGTGACTACAGCAGAAGTATTTGTGAAACTGTAGATGCAGTGTAAGATTTGAGGCTTTCACGGCGGTGACTATGAAGAAAGCAGTCTTCTGGGATTTGGCACATATACATATACACCACATATACACGGTGCCAAATCCCAGAAGACTGCTTTCTTTGTAGATGCAGTGGTTGCAAAATTGTGAATTGTATAAGTGTAAGAGCGAATGTGCGATAAATTCGCTAGATCCAAGACGGCGTGAAGTTATGTCTCGTAACATACACCCAACTCGTGACAATACTCCGGATTATTGGAATTTTGTGTATTGTTTATGGTCTGTATTGTAGAAACTAGGAAACACCGTGTTTCGGTAAGTAGGAGGGGAGACACCAATTCTGTTGAGTCCCACACAAAGAGCTAACCTCAATCACTGGTCCTTACAAACATCGTCCTAGCAGTCCTAGCGGTCCTAGCCGTGGTACATTTATGTTGGTATCCTTGCTAATGTGCCGATAGTGACCAATAGTGACCATAGTGATCGACTCTAGTTGACAAAAATTTGGAACGTCATGGCGACGTTTTTGTCAGACAGCAGCGCACTCTGCAGGGAAGGATACATACGAAAACCTCTGAACTATTGGTACCAGTGATTTGTTTGTACTCTTACCCAACAACTTTAATAATCCGTGGTACTCACTTCGTTAAATCGGCTAAATCGTTGGTGTATAATCTACGTTGATATTTTGCGAACAGTGAGCGGATGACAAAAGTAGGAGGAAGGAGGAGTAGGAGAAGTGGCAGGAATGAAAGTCAGATGAAATGTTTGCGGGTAGGAAAGCGTAATTGTGTAGTAGGTGCGCTAAGGTATAAATACATTTAAATGGTACGTCGTGTACATAAACGGAAGAATAGAGTGTATACGTACAATATATTGTTAAAGTTTTTTTTTCCTCTGTCAAGGTGACAGTTGAAAGTAAAGTAACATTATGTCATAGATCATACTACAGCATCTAAGAGATTTATGGCAGCAGAAAGAAATGCATTTTCTGTTTTGTAAATTTTAACTCGTTGCATGGAACTAAGTAGTTTATTCAATAAAGTTGTGCTTATTTGTAGAAACTGGAAGTGCATATATATATATTTTATTGTGGAAATACAGAGCACAAATGTTACGTACAACGACGAATCTGTGTTATAGACTTTTACAATGATGTCAGCTGTGGTGCCAGGTGCACCACCTGATTCTGCAAGAGCAGAGGAACGTCAGAGATTGCTGACAGAACTTTTAGAGGCCGTAAAGCAGTGCCAGATTCGATTTGGGGGGCGTGCAGAACTTGCAACTGAAAGTCATCCACGTGTAGCAATACTCTGCAGTCGAATAGAAGCAGCATTGTGCCATGGCCTTCGAAGCAGGCCACTTCTACCAAAGAACAACTCAGCTTTCAGGTATAAGTAGCTTGAGAACTTATGCAAAAACTACCTCATTGTAGCAGACCTTCAGCATTTGCAGAATATCATGGTGTTTTCAGTAGTAAATTTAACAAACTGAAAAGTGGGGTTGATTCAGTGTGCATCTGTTCTGCTCATACATGACACACTGAAGGTTAAGCTATATTACATTATTAAAGTTCACATGAGCTAAAACTGCTGTCAATTCTATCACCTCTTTTCCTCCTTGTACCTTAATTCTCTTCATTTTCCGTTCATGTATGGATGAACCTTGGTTTTTCTGTTTTACTCCCACTCTTCACATGGGAAGCAGGTCTAGTACAGACTCTGAAAGACGTGAATGAAGTGCAGTAGCTTGCTTAATGGGGCCTAATGGTAGATAGACACCTTGTTTCATGATGTGGATTCCCATCAGACAAATTCTTAATTAAGTTAGAACCTAAAAGTCACATAGATTATACTGGACAGGTTGATATAGGGATAATGCTCTGTACTTGTATTTGGGAGGCACATGGTCTGAATCTTGACCAGGACACTGGTTATTCTGACTGATGCTTTTTGTGATTTTTCTCGACCCATCCAGGCAAATGATGGGATGGTATCTCAATGAAGCCATGACCACTTCCTTCCAAATCCTTTCCAATTCATCATTGACCCATCATCCTACCATCCAGGGCTTTATAGTATTGATACTGAAAGCATCATTAAATAACCGATATAGGACATATATATATATAGTTGTGTTTTCTTTGTTATAATGCCTTTTCAAAATGGGTCTGTTAGCCAGTTCTAGTTTGAATAGGTAACCCTTCAAGTAATTTTGTCCCGTTACTTCCCTCAACTTGTTTCTGTTCAGTGTTAATAGTTCCATATTTCTTTTAGCATAGTATTCCCGAAGGAAATCCAGTGCATAATTTTTTCCAGTGTGTTGACTGTCGCTGTTCCTAGTATGTTATGTTATGCATATGTTTCCTAACTTGTTATATGTAAAGTTTTGCTATGGCAAAAGACAATCATAGTCTGATGACATCTTAGATGTAATGGATCATAAACTGGAATAAAGTTGTGTGATTGTTATGCTTTAATGACTAGAGGTCACAAACTTGGCTTAATTTTCAATGTGTATTATATACACTGTGTAATCTAATCAAGGCATATAATTGATAACTCTGTGAAAATACTGTCATTCCACCCTATTGAGTCCATTAGAGTTGACTCCTATGGGCCATTCTGCTTATTAACCCAGGGTCAGTATAATCTTGCTTCATATCAAGTGCGAGTAATTGTAAATTGACATGCTGACATACATCAAAATGATAGTTGGTGAATAACGAGACTATCATTTTGATGTAGTGATTGGCAATACAGTGGAACCTCGCTTAACGAGCACCTCTCATAACGAGTAATTCGCATAATGAGCAAAACAAGTTGTAAAAAAATGACTCGCATAACGAGCGACGAGAGGGGAAGTCCTGGATTGTGTGCTTGCTACATAAGTGTGTGTGTGTCTGTGTTTAGCACTCGTTCCGCTAGCATCAGTTTCACTTGTGATCACACATTTTTCCAAACTTGTGTTCAGACATATTATTTGTGATTTTTTTTTTGTGCAAAGTTTAATAATCCTTGCAAAAATGTCCCTGAAGATAAAGCCGCAAAAAGACAGCCATAAGAGAATAAAAATAACTGTAGAAATGAAACATAAAATCATTGAAAAGCGAGGACGATGTGTGAGCGTGGCTGATCTAGCACGCACATGCAATCGGTCTACATCAACGATTTGCACGATTAGGAGTTGCATTGTGTTTCACAGCAAGAAGTTGTGGAGGAGAGTTTGTCAGAAGAGGAGGAGGAGGTAACAGCAAAGCAACAATCTTCTGGCGCAATAAGAGAAATGCTGAAAGCATGGGAAACTGTTGCATCATACATTGAGAAGCATCACCCTAATAAGGCAGTGGCTATGCACGCTACAAATTTATTTAATGATAATGCTATGTCGCATTTTCACCAAATTTTGAAGCTTTGGCAAAAACAAATGTCTCAAGACAGCTTTCTAATAAAAAAGAATTAGATATCTATCATAAATAATAAACTAATTATTTCGATTTTTTATCTTTTCTGCAAATCGAATTTGCATTCCAGGTCAGTTCATTCTGCATAGAAGAAAAGATGAAGATGATTCACGCTCTTTAACCATGTATATATAATTTTCTTTGAATAAACGTTATACATAAAAATTTTTTTAGTACTTTTTTTTTGGCATGGAACTCATTATCGTATTTTACATTAATTTATATAGAAAAATTGTTTTGCTTAACTAGTGTTTCGTGTTACGAGCAAGATTCTGGACCGAATTATGCTCGTTAAGCGAGGTTCCACTGTACTCCTTTAATCTTCCAAACCTATTGATTGAATGGTTAACATGCTTTCTTTGTATTTGGGAGATAGTGTGTTAGATTCTTGATCCAGTGGCCAGCTGCCGTGACTAGGATGACAACTGCCTTCCAAATCCTTGTCAGTCCATTATTTAAAATCCTCTCATTAATTATTATACTTGTATAACCTGTTCAGTTTAGAACACTTCATTCTGTGAACTAAGATTCAAATCTTCCTGTGTTCAATAAGCCCTGAATTTGAACCTGTGTCTGTAGCCATTTATCCTGACTAGTGTTCAATGAAGTTTTTTCCTTTGGATTTGAGATTCTTGTGGCTGTGACACTGAACCTTGCACCTAGCATCTTCAGACCACTGAAGAGAGACTTCTAAGAAAAGTGCTCCTGATGTGACAAAGAGGTGAAAGCTGAGATGCACAGTTGGCATAAAACATTGAACCTTGAGCAGTAACCGCATTGAGAAATATATTGTTATGCATGACTCTCTGTTCTTTTGGACATTGTGTCAAAAGTAATGGGCGTATAGAACACTTGCAGGTGTTACTTATTGAACACCCTTCATATAAGCCTGTCTTTCATCATTAATAAGACAACTAGACTAGAAATATATATACTGTGACCATAGCTTGCATGTGAAATCTTATCTTTCATGTGCCATAGATACTGGATTATTCCTTGAGATAAAGAGTTTTAATTTGTTCTACAAGTAAATGGAACCAATATGGTCAGTATGCTTTAGTGGATTTCAGAATTTCTGCTGGTGGCCTGTTGACTCTCTGTTGGTGTGAGGCATGGAAATGCGTTTAGTTTGCAGTTGCCTACCAATGGGCAATGTTAACATTAAAATGTCACATTTCCCTCTCCTTAAGGCTGCTTGTCTCTAGTAGCTTGTAGGCCTATTGGCATTTCTTTTTTTCTGAGGGACATGCCTGTCACATCTGTGATCGGTCTCGCAAATGGCATTTCATCGTCCTGCTGTGGTTTTCCAACTGCTTCCTCCTCAAGGGTGTTCGTCCCAAGCTGTTCATCTGTAACGTGCTAGCCTGTCCAGGTGCACTGCCATCTTCCTTGTTCTCGGAGGTCGCTGAAACCTGAACACCACATCCTTGATTTGGTTGACTATTCTATAGAGGCCTTCCCATGATGGTTCAAGTTTGTGTTACTTCCCTTTGGTGTGGGTTGTGCCATATGGCCACACTTTGTCACCCTTTTTGTACCCATGCAGTTGGACGGCCGGTCGTAGCGAGGTTTCTTTCGGGCACTGGCAAGCGTCATATGTTGATAGGCATAATTGGGGATGCTGTGTAACCAATCCACGAGATCTACCTCATGGTCAGTGGCAGGTCGCTTCTTGTTTGGGGGTGCCCCATATAGCAGACCGCAGGGCAGGCAGAGTTCTTGCTCCAGCACTAGGTTAGCTGAGGTGAAGACCATGGTGTTGTCGGTGGATTCCTTGTAGGCAATGAGAGAGATACCTTTGTCTGATGTTGCCCAGGGTCTTGTTGACAGCCAGGTATCCTCCTGATGGTCCACCAGGGAGTTTGGCCTGTATGTATTTCACTGTACTCCAAGGGAGGACAATTTGAGCTATTTTATATTGTCCTTCGTAGTCCAGTGGCGCTCCAGTATGCCATCCCTTGCTGCAAGGGACTTCCAGTGGACCCAGTAGCCCTTGTACATGGGGCTACGTTCAGCACTGTATTTTTATTCCGGACATTTTCCAGCCTCTGTTTCCTCTAGAATTGTTCCTACATCTTGAACATTCAGCTGCTTCATTCTTAGGGCAGCTGGGTCCTGTCTGCGGCTACAGCCGCAATAGCTCTCACCTGCTTCACTTCTGCCTGCGCCTCGATTTTTTGAGAGTGAGTTCATTTTTCTCGGCATGGCCTTCAGGAAAGATAATGAACACTGTACTTCCGGTCCTGACGATGTTTGGAGGTGAATTTGCATTTTTGGAGGCTATTCAGCGTGCTATCTGTTTATCTAGGTTCGTGAAGCTTATGAGCCAGGTGAATGCGGAGTTGTCTGTACGCAGTCGTAACTTATGTCCGTAGAGGAGAAAGGTCCAGTTGTCCCTGTAACAGGCTGTGGAGGGCCCGGTTGCTAATTGTCGAGGCTCCCACATTTTTTCTAGACAGTGGGATTGTTAGGCTTATGCGCCAAAGGCCTTTACCCCTAGGAAGAATCCTGTTACTCATTTCTGTTAGAGACTGAGCTGATTCCAAGGCCATCATGCGGCTGAAATGATTAGGCCAATTGAAAACTCCAGTTATATCAGAAATCGAACCCGCGACCTTCTGGCTTGTAGCATGATGCCTCAACCAAATACTAAAATGTTCCAGTGACCTCACGATGGCTAGTAGTTTCTGCCGGGTGATGCGGTACTTTCTTTCTGCCTTGTTTAGCGTCTTACTGTATTATGCTATTACTCGCTCATGGTCGCCATGTGCTTGCAACAGTACTCATCCAATATCGACATTACTTGCGTCTATGTCGACGATAAATTTCTCACATGGTTGCGGGTGAACAAGGATGGATGTTCTACAGAAGGCCTCCTTCAGTGATGGGAAGGTGGCCTCTACTACTGGGGACCACACAAATGCTGGTTTGACCTCTGTAAGTCTACTCTGCTGATTCGCAGGGGGTCGCGCATTCCCGTATGATCTTTAGTTCCCTGTGGACCTTGATCATACCTTTTGGCGACACAGGGTGACGTAGGTACTGCGGCTCCTTCTGAAAAAGTGGAACTTTTCCGGGTTGAGCTTAAGGTGGGCCTCTTGAAATCGTTGGAACACCTTCCATAGGTTTCGCAGGTGTTCCTCAGACGTGTGGCCAATCACGATCATGTTCAGGTATACGCGGCACGACTCATGAGATCCCCTAAGATCCAGTGTCCTCAATCCTAGGCGAGGAAACAATTATTCCTTATAACATCAGCTTCCTGTAGTCTACCCAGAACAGCAGTTCTCTGTTCTTCTGGGCAAAGATGACGGGAGATAACCAGTGGCTGTTCTGCTCTTCAGTAACCTGATGCTCTTGCGTGATCTTGAACATCTTGCCCACTTCTGCTTCTTTTGTGTCTTCGTATTCTGATTAGTGCCTTTCGTCATTTAAGTTTAGTCTGGCATCCTAAATTACATCCTGTGACTGGGACGGTCTTTTGAGCCACGGGTGTCTCAGCATTTAGTGAGATCACCAGCCTGACTAGTGTGCAATATATCAGGGCGATCTTTTTGTGAATGTCTGGGCACCACAGGTAGCGTCTGTGTGTTTGATGGGCATCTCCTGCTGGTAACAGACCAGGGTCCTGGCTGTGTAGAGTCTTTCTGCGGTGTGAGTCTTCGGACTGTGTTCTGTGAGACAATTTTCCGCTCCAAGAAGGCTCTTGAGTTGAACCATAACTCCATCACATCGTGCCCATATCACGTGGTCACCACAAGACAGGACGACTGGGGATCCGTCTGGGGTCTCCATAGTAATACTTCTTCCTTTGAGAGTCATAGCATGTGGTGCCCAAGTTCATGAATGCATTAGTGGTGAGTAGGATATCAGGTCCTATGATATGTTTATCCGTGATCTACACAACAAACTCCAAAATATGCATGTGGCTCTGTCCCAAGGTTAGTTCCACTAAGGCCTCCCCAGAACCCATTCGCAGTAAGTAGCATCGGCTCGGCTTCCTTTTGGGACATCCTTTGGCGTTGTTTAGCCTGGCACTTGCCACAGACTCCGGTGTCAGTGGTTGCGATGCATGATTTATTCCAAATCCATTGCTTCGCGAGCTGACTATTGTCAGCCCTCTCAGCTGTTATGTTGAACGTGGGATTGGGGCGGGAATGGGGACATCAGCGTCTCCCGTTTTTCATTATATCCCGCTCGTTTTCCGAGGGTCGGTGGTCTCTTCGCATTGACTCCCTTGTTTTCCGAGTTTCGTTTATGCCTTCTCGTCAACTTCCAGTTGCTTCTTGAGCGCCTGTCATCCTCGGCGGCTCCGAGTTGTACCTCCAGAGCTTGTCATCTTCATCTGATTATTGGGAACATCCACTTTGATGATGGCGCGTGCTTCCACAGCGCCATGACATGAGCTGTCGTTAATCTTTCCATTCTGTTGTGGGGGAATGGTTCTTCCATATGTTCCTGAATGTCGTGTGCCGGACCTTGAGAGACGTTCGGTCTGCTGTATCGGCTGACTCATTGAGGGCTTCACTGAGTGTCTGCTCGCTTGTCAAGAGTGGCTGTCGTCATGTTTTTCTTCTCTTAACATGTCTGCTAATGCGCGGCCGGTTTAATTAGTGATATTATGTTTGGGTAGATCGACATGGGCACAGTATGCCAAGTAGTCTCTGATGGCAGAAAACTCCTGGATGTCAAAGTGTCTACTATTAATTATATTAGAAGAAACTCTGGCTCATAATGCCTGTGACTGTAATGGATCTGAGGTATGCACCAAAAGAAATCAGCATATCTGTTGAAAACTACTAATGAAGTACACATTTTCAGATGTTAGTGACTAGACACAGGGTTTGGATAAATATAAATTATTTTCACTTGTATTTTTATGGGTATTCACCATGTAAATATTGTTTTCGACAGAAGTTGTAGATCTTAATGTGGTCATATATTTCATGTTATGTACTAATTTCGTTTTATGATGAGGCATTTTTATAAATTTGACAACTTTTAGTGTAGATAGGCTTTGATGAATGTTCTAGGAGTATTCAGACATCAGCGTAGAAAACTGTTTTTTAATTGAAGATAAGGTGAAAATGTTATGTAGCGAAACATGATAGAACTTCCCTGTGCTTGACACTTCATACTGCATGCAGTATCTGCCAGACCTTGCTGCCTGAACCATATGCCATGTTATCACTGCACACCCTTTATTTGAGTGTGTTATGTTTCATTCTCACAGGCAAGTGACAGAGATTGTATCTAGCAGTCTGCACTTGGGCCGGGGTGCAACACAAGAGCATCAAGGTATGTAATATAATGCCAGCAACAGTTTATGAAGCACAACAGTCCAGTGAGATGGTTATATGGATGAGCAAGATATATCTCCTATAATTGTACTTTGTGAATTATTGTTAAATTTGTACCACACATTTAAATGCAAATTTTATGGTACAGTTAGACTTGTATTATGGCACAATCTTTGACTTTGGAGAAGGCTGCATGTTAACTTTTGTAAGCTGAACTGTTTGGAAAGTTTAAAGCAATCATAAAAATTTATAATTTTTAAAGAATGAATATTTATTTACTTATTGTCTTTGTATGAGTCTGTATATGCCCATGGAAGCCAATTTCAGTGTCATTTTGCATCACTTTCAGACATGACAACAGTTATGTGCATGCTGTCAGTTATGAATATCCTACCGTTGAATGGTAAATGGAAGTACTCATCCAAAGCTTCATTAAGATTACAGTCTACAGAGATGTGACACTGCATATCTTGGTTTATAATTGTCAACATTTTGGAGAAACCATCATCAGGGGGCAGTTCTGCCATTGAAGTTGTAAGCGGCAGATCCAGCCAAATGTTAGTACCTGCCAAATGACAAATAGTCACATATCAGAAGACTGTTCTTAATATTCACTGCTGTGTGAACTTCAAAGAGCTTCATGTTTGTCAAATTGTAGTGAGATGTGTATGATCTGCCAACTTTGTTGATGACATAGGGAAAATTACTTCTTGTGATATTCCAAGCAAATTTAATCCAGTTTTGAAGATCTGTGGGGTGAAATAATCAGAGAGTTACATATGTCTTGTTTGTCAGGATAATATGAATTTTGTGTAATATTGAATGTTTAAGCATTTTATGCACATCATGTGTGAAGATATGAACAGGGCAAGCACTATGAATTGTGAAATGAGAGATACCAACAAAACTTTGGTTATTAAACCCGAGGAAGAGATAGCTTGGGAGACTAGCTATAGGTGGAAGAATAATATTGAATTGTATTTTACATAGACGTGAATTGGTTTCATCTGGCTCAGAATAGAATCCACTGATGATCTTTCTGAACACATTGGCAAAACTTCACATTCCAGAAATGCAAGGAATTTTTTTTGTCAGCTGAATAACTGTTAACTGTTAAAGAAGAACCCGCACCATGAAGTTGCTTATTGTAGCAAGACAAATCTCTTATCATATAATTTATGACTATGTATACTGTTTAGTTAGTAAAATCAAAGGGTACGCTATTCTCATATTCATTGCATGGACATAGATGTCAAAATAAAAACAAGAAGGAATAGTGGACAGATCCTCTGTTTCTCCCTGTAATTTCCAGACCAGTTGAGGCAGCTGTCACAGCTGTATGTCATGTGTTCAGTTCCCATGAAAAAGAAGTAAGACCTCAGTGTATGCACCCATCAGTGCACCATTGTTTTTATTTCAGCATGTCAAAAGTGTTTTCCTGTGATGTGCTTGATCAGTTACTTACAGAGGGATCAGGCTGAATAGTTGATTGGCAATATATTCCTCTCAGTCTTCAGGGCAGTTGCTGGTGGCTTTTTGGGATGCACAGGGTATCCTTCTTCAGTTCCTGGATCAGGAGACAGTGGTGAAGGAAAACACTCTTGATATGATAAGGTGTACAGCCCAGGTATTTAGAGGTGACAGTTCAGGAAAAGCTGCGCAATGGATGGGCAGGTCCATTCGTGAAAGTTGAGGGGTGTTGTGATTAGTCATTTGTTTGTTATCAGTGCGAGCAGACGTCTCAAGTACAGTTAAAAGCATTCTTCCTTGTACAGTTAAGGTAAAAAGTTTTGACTCTTGGAGTCATATTTGAGTGTATTATTCTCTATTTACTGTATTAATATTTTATTTTATTGGTTGATTTTCTTTTTTGTTTATTTATATTTGTACATTTTTTCTATCTCCTTTAACATGCCACCTTTCATTCATTCATCAGTAATCTGTCAGACGACAGGTCCACAATCTCTTCCAAAACAGTTCCTCCACTTAATGCGATCTTCTGTTTTTGGAAAGAGACTATCCAGGAAAAGTGATAATGTGGTAGTTTTTCCATTTGCTTTCCACATCGCAGTACAGCAGCCATTCAAACCACTCTGGTCACTCCTGTTGCTATACGAACTTGAACCATCTCGAGCATCATTTGTTCTGTGCTTCAAGTCGCTACTGATGACGCTGCTTCCGGCATCAGTTTTTGGTGTCTCTCTTCGTCTGATGCCTACCCTTTGACCTGTCCAGCAAGGGAGGCCCTGCCAGTAGCTACGCTGCCGCTGGTATAGCTCTCAGGGTCCTTAGCATACTCAAACCCCCTCACCACGATAAGGCGGAGACACCAACGAGGGGGAACATGCCACCTACACGAAGTAAATTGAGTGGAAAAGTGTTGCATTCACAATCAAGAGAAATTGTTAGTAATTGGCTGGGCCAACAATTACGGTGAAGAACATAGGAGTGGAAGCAGCAAAGGCAACAGGTGTATCGGAAAGTAGTTTCAGAAGAATAATAAGAGAAACAAAAAATACCGAATCTGGGGCTTCCACTTCCTTTTCAGCACCCCATAAAGAAAGACCTACGAAATCTCCACTAGATGATATCTATGCGGACATTGCCAGAATAGACCTGTGTAATACGTAAATAAACTCTTCATGTATATAAGAGTGAAAAGTGTATAATAGTGTATAGTGCATAATAGTCTGCCATTCAGCACTTAAAACTTAACATCGGATGTGTGAACATCATCGAGACTAAACCAGCAACACTATTCAACACAGTGAGGCAAGAAATTATTTCCTTTTGAGAATGCCTGTACTGCATTCCTCTCCACACTTGTCAGCATGCTGGAGCTCTCCCCGCCACTACCAATACTTCTCCTACTGTGCGTTGGAGGACTTTCACTTTTAAATACCTGGGCTATACTGGTGGGTGTAATCACTGAGCCGTATTTCTTCTCTGTAGGAGTGGAGTAGGGAGTGTATCATTAGGACAATCCTATTGCCATGTGTATTAGTGACAATAGTTGGGGTTTGGATTGGTGAATACATTTATTGAACACTCACAGGTCATAACTTCAAATAACTATAACAGCCTCTCAGGTTTACACACTCTAAAGATTACTGTATGTACAGCACACAAAATAAAGTGTTCTATATCTGCTTTCACTAGTCGTTGCTGGGCAACAGTTCTCAGCAATGGCTGTTCCTCTACAAAGTTTTCAGTATGAGTTTCCTGGTAACAAATCTTAGCTGGTTGACACTCAACTACTGAACTCTGAACTCTCTTACGAATGAATGAATGAATGAACGAACTATGAAGTAACTGAACAGAGCTACTGAACTGTCCTCTGAATTCTCTCACTACTGACAAATGAAAATGAAGAATTAGTTCTTGGTTCTCCTTTCTGCTCCGACTGTCTTACGAAAGAATCCGTTATCAAAGTCATAGTTATGTTATGACCAACGGTCAGTCAGCCAGTCTGTCTTGGAAAAAAGCATGTTCTGGGGCTTAAGACCAGATCTTTATTACTGTCAGACAATTGCAGGCCTCTTGGTGTGGGGCGCTCTGTCTGACAAGAGGATGGGTCTGTCTTTTGCCAGAGTCACAGTCAGCAGTAATAAGTCTGTTGTCAGTATGTACAATTTACATTTTACATGTTATTAAATGTATGTATATACAACATATACAAGGCCTATGTCAGTCCAGACTCAGTACAGCAGATCAAGCCCTATCATTAGTAGCTCCTGCTACAACGGCAGTCTAGTCGCTTGAATGGTTGTACTTGTCTGCTACCAAGTTTAAGCCTGTTATATGAATCCATTCTTGTCTGCACGGCTGCTTATATTGTCTCTAGTCTCCATAGAAGATGTTGGTTGCTATTTTGTATCTGTGAAAACCTTTGTTGGTTCTGCTTACACAGAAAACATATTCTGTACCAGGTTGGTCTCCATGAATCCGCATCTGCGTAGAAACGTGTCAGTGTCGTATCTGTTGCTGCAGATATGTGCCTAGCAAGTCATCATCTAGCAATGGACTATTTCAGGCATCATGTCACAGTATCATATGTTTTGATAATTATGCAAAGAAATATATATTTTTTCCATTATCCCTTGTTCTGGTGGACATATGTCAGTTATAAATATGAGACTTTGAATTGCTGAGTTTCTGGACTTTGTTCTTCATTGATTTTCTTCTGCGTTGGTGTTCATGGTTGTTGGTTTGGTTTGGTTTATTGCATTTATTTTCCAGTTCCTTTTCTGTCTTAGTTTCAGGTCCTCATAAGCCTTTCCATAATTTTTATTGTAAATTTTCCTGTTATGTCTCATTGACAAAACCTGATCTCAGGTGCATATTTGGATGCAGTTGTACTGACAGTGATTGAGGTTAGTTCTTTGTAGTGGACAGAGTAGGTTGCTCCTACTTGAGGACAGAAACAAATACAGTTTCCAGAATGCTGTGTTCTTTAAAATACTAAAGGATGGACAAAGTCCAGATCTCACTGATCATGGGTGCTTGTACCATAGTCAGAAAATATCTGAACAGGCTTAATATAAGATTCCCATGGATGTTATTTGTTGAACACACTTCATACAACACTTTGATAAAAATAGTTGAAGTTATAAACGGTTTTTAATATAGTTTTGTGTTTCTGGTAAGTACAAAAGCTGTGAAAATTATTAGTGCACTGTATTCCACATGTTTTGAAAATGTGGCACAGTTCATATATTTGGGAACAGTGATAACAAATCAAACCTGATTCAGGAAGAAAGGAGGAAATTAAGAGGAGATTGAATTCGGGTAATGCATGCTACCGTTCAGTCCAGAACCTTTTGTCTTCTCATCTGCTGTCTAAAAACATAACAATTAGAATATACGAAAGTATAATTTTGTTTGTGGTTCTGTATGGGTGTCAGTCTTGGTCTCTGACATTAAGGGAGGAACACAGACTGAGGGTGTTTGAGAACAGAGTACTGAGGAGAATATTTGGATCGAAGAGAGATGAAGTGATGGGAGGACGGAGAAAATTGCATGAGGAGCTTCATAACTTGTACTCTTCACCAGGTATAATTAGAATGATCAAAGCAAGGAGGATGAGATGGGCATGGCATGCAGCATGAAGGGTGGACAAGAGGAATGCATATAGGATATTGGTGGGAAAACCAGATGGAAAGAGACCACTGGGTAGACCAAGGCATAGGTGGGTGGACAATATTAAAATTGATCTTAGGGTGATAGGATGGGATGGCATGAATTGGATTGATCTGGCTCAGGATAGGAACCAGTAGAGGGCTCTTGTGACCATGGTAATGAACCGCCAGGTTCCATAAAATGCTTGGAAGTTCTTGAGTAGCTGCACAATTGGTGGCTTCTCAAGAAGGTATCAGCTCTATAAGTGAGTGAGAGTGATTCACATAATACTTAAGAATAAAACACTGAATGTCACAGTAGAGTAGATGGCATTCTTGCTCCATATTCAGAATGTTCAAAACTCAGTCTGGAGGCCAACTATCTGAATTTTCCTCAGTCCCTCAAAGAAGATTCCAAGGTATTACCTTGAATTAATCCATGACCTTTTCCTTTCACATCCAATTCATTATTCGCTGATCATCATACCATTGAGCACTATATAGTATGAGCAGCTGACAATGTGATTAAATAAGTTGTAAATAAAAATAAATGCTTATGTGTAAAATACCGTTTCTTTGTATGAGGAGCACGGTATGGCTGAATATGATGGAAGCCTCTGCTGTGTTGCAGTGTTGTGGCATTATGTGCGAGAGCACTTGACAAGGCATGAATATGAACGCTACCTGGTCCTGAAGCAGGTGTGGACAGATATAGGGCGTGGTCGTGCATGGCTACGTTCCTCCCTCAATGAACACTCATTGGAACGGTATCTACATTGCATGCTTGGTAGCACTGCCCATCTTTCTATCTTCTTTGAAGACTGGGCATTTTTGCTGGACCAAGAGAGAAGCAGCATGCTTCCAACCATGGCTGCAGGTATGTGGCCATCTGTCTGAAAACGGCTTAGGAATTATTTTTGTTCTTTGCTCTGGAATAAAGTGAGTCAGCCATAGTATAATTAAGAAGACTGTAAAGATTGTTCCAGTGATATACACATACAGTGTGCCCCCACATTATGGTTTTTGTGGTTACAGAATTTCACCCATACAGAAATATAAAATATGACCATAAAGTTCATGAAATGAACTACAAATTTGCACATGAGGAAATTTAGAATATTTTTGTTAAAATCTGTTTAAACACAAAGTCCAAAATTACAATAGATGCAGTCAAATCTGATCTTTTTAAGAAATAATAATTTGCCAATAAATTCATGCCAGTTTTGCATATATGCCTCTCACATAGCAGGATGTGTAGCTGGCCATGGGCTAGTCTGTGTGCACATGTCAGTGATATAAGCAGATAACTGACAGCATGATTGCATAAGCAATTATTGTAGATTACACATGTATATTACACTTATTTAAGATGTCTGGAAAGATGTCATCAAAATTAATTGCTAGTAATACTCCACAAGGATCTTAGAAAGAAATTAACTGTGACTGTGACTGATGAAATTTCTGTAGAAATACATCTCTGCTTATAACACAGGATTCAGCAGAAAGATATTTTATGTGTTATGAAATTTCATGATATGGATACATTTTCAAGACAATGTCTGTTCTGCAACGTCAGGACATTTTGTATTTTTTGATATGTTCTTTAATATTTTGCACACCTCATTGGCCTTTATGTTCATTTTTTCCTTATATATATATATATAATCTGTTGTTGTAAAGCTTATGACATTGCACAGAGTTAGGAATTATTTTGTTCTTAAAATATTTCCCATTTTGAAAAGACAAAGTTTAAAATTAATGTAGTAGATTTTAATGAGGTCTGTATTTTATCACATTTACATTTTTTATAGGCTCTGCGAATTTTTTTTATTGAGATTGTAGTCTAGTGGCTTTGAGGTTTGGTAAATGGTTGATGGCAATTCAGAGGAAACTGCTACCTCCAGCCCTAGTATAAGATTAAAATTGTGGCTTTTGGTGGTATGACTCCATGATATCTGGTAGGTGGTTGCCAGTGCTTTTGAAGGAACCTGGTTCCTCCATCATCACAGTAGGGCTAAGATTGTAGCCATCTAGATTATGATATCTTGTAGTTTCATATGTGGTTGCCAGTATTTCAGAGGAACCTGCAACCCCTGTCTTCACTTTCACTTTGAAGATGGAGACGGTAGATTGCTCAAAATGTTCTGAATAGTCAGTACTTCATGTGTTTTGTACATTGATAACTTGTGTAAATTGAGCATAGAAAGTGAGACACAATTGCAGTATAATGACGAGTTCCAGCTATTCCTGTGACTAATGAATAATCTCTAGGTGGTTCAGGGTTAACCTGGTCTTTATTTTCTTTCCTGAAGATGTGGGCACCAGGAAAATAAAACTTTTATGGAGGGTTGCTGGCAACACTGCACTCACTTCCTGGCAAGTGTCTGTGCACCAGCTTCTACACATTACAGTTAGTACAAAATTCCATCAGACCTTGTCACCTCTAGTGTCAAACAGTGGAATAAACCAAAATTCTTCATAGGTTAAATTCACAGTGTGGGAAAGAGACCCTGTCTCATGAAAGTGTCTGTGGTTGGTACAGTGAGTTTTCTGAAGGCCAGAAAGAAGTTTAATACTCAGCTGGCAGCTGGAAGGTGTGTTTTGGGATTAAGAAGGAGTTATTCATATTAATTTTCTTTAACACTGTGTAGCAGTTAACACAGTTGCCTTGCAATGATGTACACCAAGTGATTTGAAGAAAAGATTTGGGACACTGTCAGAGAAATCCTACTGCATGACAAGACTCATCCACATATGGCAGTTTTGCAAAGGCGATATTGGCAATGATGAGCCCAGAAATTGTGAACCACCTCCTTACAGCCCTGAATTAGCCCCCAATGATCTTTATTTGTTTCGACCAATGAAGGTGATCCTAGGAGGGCAGATATTTAAAACTGATGATGAACTCAGATATAATGTCATGAACTGGCTGTGCAATTAGGAAAAAACAATTTATGCTGCCAGCTTCAGTAACTTGCCAGGAAAATATAAGAAAATGTGTCAGCATAGGAGCCGAATATCTTGAAAAGTGAGAGTTTGGCAATTCTGGCATGTATATTCTTTTTGTAAAAAAAATGAAGTCCTGGTCAGCCTTGAAGAACCATCATAATGTTAATAATTTTGTATCTGTAATTGCAAATATGCAGATTTATGTATGTTAATTATAATACTGAGTTCTTATATGTTTCTTGACTTAGACTTTTAGTTACATAAAATAAATATGGATTTATTTTGCAATCAACATATACCACCAAAATCTCTGTTTTCTGTAGGTCTAGGCTCCATCTTATTTGCCATAAGCATTGACAACCCAGATCTGAATCTGTCAAGCAGCACACAGTGCAATGCTGAACCACTGGTCCCTTCTCTCACACTGTCTGATCCTGTAATTGCAGCTTCTGATCCAGGTAAAAACATGCCAGAAAATTACAGTACTCTGTAGCAGTATCTCATGTGTCTGATCTTGTGGAAGCTCATATCTGTATTACCTAATGACAGTATGTATGGTTACATTTCCTGCATTTATGTTTACTTTGTCATATACATAGGATATAAGAGAAAATATTGCGACTGTCAAAATCTGTATCTAAAAGGAAGACAGATTTACATGTTTTCATCCCCCTGATTACAAAAAGTAGTTTTCAGTATGCTGTTTGTCTCTATGTGTATATGAATGGACATGCATACTCTAGTGCACGAACAGTTGGACAGATTTTGCTCATATTTGGAATTCTATATTTTATTCATGCTAGGTCAGTGCCAGGTTAATATAGGAACTAGGACAGTGGATAAAGTCTGCATAAATAGCCATAAACGGTAACAAGGCTGGTTAGCTTAAGTCCATGAGATGTTTGCCTGCACATTAAATCAGTAGTGGTGCTCTGTCTATTTCCAGGCCAGATAATAATGCATATGGCTTTGTTTCTTATTATTTTCCATAATTATTCCTTTCCTCATATAGTAGTGATTAAAAATGTTGGTATGTAACTAAATAATGTATGTTTAGATACAAGCTGCAAGCAGAAATCAGATCATCGTCGCCGGAAACGTGTACCAGCTCACATAATTTCATTTGATGAGGATGACCTAGCAGAACAACACCTTAGAAGCCAAGTGGTATCACATAGTGCTCCCCCAACCTGCCTCAACTCACCAGCAAGTGGTATGGCAAATGTGCCGATATCTGCAGAAACGGTTGGAGCCTACGTCAGCAAGTTTACAAATAACTCCACAGAGGCTGATGTGACTGCTTCTGAAGAACAGGCTCAAAATGTTAGTACCTTCATCTTTGTAGTGATCAGTGGTTCTCATGTCATATATCATGTAACCTAGTCATTTGCCAAGAGAATTAAGTAGGAGAAAGCCAGTATCGGGAAATAAATTAACAAAAATTGTAATATATTAACTTTTTAAGGTCCTATTTTTAAATATTCATTGATATATGCCTAATGATGTAGTACAAAGCATTCAATAGCATTGATAAAACCATCTGCACAATAATAATATCCACAAACAAAATCAGTACTAACATATGAGCATGGGCCGTGCCATAGCTCAAGCGGTTAGTCGCTGGCTTCCCACCATGGCGGCCCGGATTTGATCCCGGGTCTGGTCAAGTGGGATTTGTGGTGGACAAAGTGGCGCTGGGGCAGGTTTTCTCCAAGTACTTCAGTTTCCCCTGCCAGTCTTCATTCCACCAATTGCTCCACAATCACTCTCACCTATCATATGGGGCTGGTACAGTAGGCCAGAAGTGGCCACAGTACAGGGGACTTAGTCTCACCCCACTAGCAATAAAAAAGAAAACATATCGGCATTCATTTATTAGGCAAAGGAGTTCACTGCATGTTTCACAACGTCATCTAGAAGAGTTCAGTCTTAGTTCCTCTTTTGTGTTACTTAATAAAGATCCATATTTTTACAATATTTTACCATCTGATAGCAAATAAAACCTTCTTGTTAAAATATAATGTATTTGTAACAATATGTATCCATATTAGGAAACTTAATTTGAGAACTAAGATCAAATTCTTATAAATTCGCATGATGCTAACCTTGTGAAGGTCAAAACATGCAGTGAACTCCTTTGCCTAATAAACAAATGTCGATACATTAATATTGATTTTGTTTGTGGATATTTTTGTTGTGTAGATGGTCATATTAAAGCTGTTGTATGACATACAACAGGATGCATACCATGATGTACTTAGCATGCAGTTTAATTTTCAATAGATGTAAATGTTATCACATTAAAAAATGAAATCTAACTTCAGAAAGTAGGGGTACGCAGTAGCGTAGTTGGTTGAGGCATTATGCTACAAGCTGGAAGGTTGTAGGTTCAGGTCCCGATGAGGTCATTGGATTTTTCAGTTGAACTAAACCTTCCAGCTGCACTATGGCCCTGGGGTCAACTCAGCCTCTAACAGAAATGAGTACCAAGAATTAATTAAATAACTTTCTTGGGGAGTAAAGCGTGGCCAGTGCGTACAGCTGACAATCTTACCGTCGTCTTTGAGCCAATTTTCTAGATAATGTGGGGCCCTCAACGTCTCACGGCCCTATGGGCCTTCATGGCCTGTTACAGGGATAGCTTTACTTTTTACTTTTTTTACTTTAACTGCAGAAAGTACTTCTATATGATGTTTCATAGCCACAAGTAAGCTTATATAGCTGTTCTAGCAGGATATTTTTTGGTGTTGAAATAAAAATTTTTGCTTTTGCATTTGTCATAACCCTTACTGTGCTGAAGTGTTCTAAGAAAGCAAACCCCAATTTGTTTGGATGTTTCCATGGTAATTTATAAATTCAGTTTGTGGAAAGTGAATGGATGATCAGGAAATTGGGGTTCAATCCCTATCAGAGGCAGGCATTTTTCTCTTCTCCACAGGAAAAGCCTGTTTGGATGTTATTTGTCATGTTAATAGTATGAAAATGGTAAAAAAAATGCAAGATTATTTTTAGGGTTTCACTGAAATCTGTTTCTTCAGGAAGGTTCGTTGAGAACACAGAGTTGAGAATCACTGCAGCAATAATGGAATAAATTATGTGTTTCTGTTATAATGGTAAACATGGTGAGACAAATTATACAGAAGTATCTTTGAGGGTTCATAAGAGCTCCCAGATGTATGCTGATTTATATGACAGAAATTGGTTGAGAAAAGGAAGACCACATATTGAAATCTCCATGCAAAGAACTTCTCTATTACAGTGAAATTGATCAGACTTCGCTGATTAGTGATTAGTGATTAGTACTCCTGCTTCCTGTTTAGGAGGTCTTGGTTTGAATCTTGACCTGGTGACCAATTGTCCTGAGTGGATACTGTATGGTTTCCTGTATTTTCTCCAGGCAGTTGTTTGGGTTAGGGTCTTAAGATGGACAACAGCCACTTCCACAGTACTACCAATTCATCATTTACAGCCATTTTTCATTAAATATAGTATGACTAGTATGTCATGAAATGAAAGTAGGAGGAACAAAAATCATGAAAGAAATTCTTGTTTTTGACAGTATGCTCCATTTATGTAAGCCACTGATACTAAGTAAAGAACACAAATAATTGTTTCTCTCTTTCTTTCATTGGAGCTCTTACTGTGTTACATTCTTATCATACTACACCTTTCTTCATTTTCTCTTTATGTGTGTATGGTTTTAGCAAGGTGAGTGACTGTAGCAAAGGTTTTTCTATTTTGTTGCTGTGCAAATAACAGGTTTCACTGCCACATTGTGAACCTTGTGATAACAGTACAGGAGATAGTGAATCACCTCATCCCATGTTAGACTCAGAGCGACCCCGTCAACTGCAGCTTACTCATTCCCCACAACAATCAGTGTCTCAGTCCCAGCGGAGTTCAACCCCAGGCCCTTCAGATGGTACAGGGAGAAAAAAAGATGCTCAGTGAGTTTGTATCCTGTTACTTGAACTTCATTGGTTTAAAATTTTTATTTTCTTGTGGTTTTGTGTGCCTGCATGTGCATGTGAACATTTTTGTGCTTATGATTTTAGCTCAAGAAATGCTGTTCATGTTGAATTGAAAACTGACTCTAGAGGTTATCTTAACCCAAAAGGATCACATTCCAGTAACATCATTATGACATGAGTATTCTGTCGATATGCCATTCACACTTATTCAGGTTGTTGTCAGCTCTGCATTAGCCTCATGTAAGTGCATGAGTAGGAAGGTTAAGTAATAAATAAATGAAAATTTAGTCACATGTTTTTAGCCAGGGAGGTGGTGGAATGGTGGGAACTAGACCACCATTAGAAAGATCAGACACAGACATTGAAATTAAATAGTAAATAAATTGTAGTTGGAGATAGAAGAATGTTGGGCTACAGATCATTAGTTTAGGTTATTTTATTGAGTTCGGTTTCATTACAAACATAGAAATATGTCCTCATATCACCAGGCTTTTGTGGTACATGGGTTCAATACATACAAACTATAGTACATAGAAACAAGCAATCTGTACAGACTACTTTCATTGTTTAAGTCTGCTCAGTTACTGTCACTACTACCACCACTAGTGCACCATTGCTATTTCTGCTCTCAGTCCATTTTCTAATTTTAAATTTGTCTTCCAAATAACCTGAGGGTGGTTATGGTGTTCCCTATAACTTTGGTCTCCCAGTTACATTTAGTTTTAAATAAATATTTTGTAGTGGTTTTTGTCATTAACCTTATTGCCTTCCCAGGGAAGGGAAGGCACAAGGAAGACTGGTGCATAGGTGGGTGGACAATATTAGAATGGATCTTGGAGAGAGAGGATGGGATGGGATGGATTGGATAGATCTGGCTCAGGATAGGGACCGGTGGAGGGCTCTTGTGAACATGGCGATAAACCTTCGGGTTCCATAAAGTGCTGGGAAATTCTTGAGTCGCTGCAGAATTGGCGGCTCCTGCAGAAGGGCTCAGCTCCATGAGTAAGTAAGTAAGTAACCTTGTTGCCTTATCATCAGCAGTTTTGTATCTGGAATAAATGAATATCAAGGCCAGTGAATCATGCATTATCTGGGAATATCAGCAATATTTGGAAGAAAGACCTATGGATTAAATTTTTCTGCACTTGTTTTGTTTGTTCAGAACGTTTTGTGTGTGATGTGCTGTATTAGTGGAACGGGTACTTTCCAGGGGTTCTGGTATAGTCAACATGGTGAATGTAATACATCCAGTACAGACATTAACTCCTGTGAACAATGTGAGTGTGGGAGAACTCATACCTGTCTCAATAGCGGATGAAGCTCATTCTGAGGAGGACTCACTTTCTGTCCCCAGTTATTCTGAGGTAAGTGCAGGGGAACTCCAGTTCAGTGTTCCTTGATTTAAAGTTTTCCCTCATTTAATGTTCAGCTTCAGTGATCCTAAATCAATAATCTCAGTATTGCATTACCTCCATTTAAGTTGTTACTTTGTTTAACGTTCAAACGCATTGCTGTCAATAGAAACCTTGTTTGGGTTATTCAGCATATACAGATTGTGATCATAGCCTGGTGCTCATGGAATGAAATGAGGCACGGACAGTTCTTCTCTGCAGAGGTTCTCATAGCTGTACAGGCTAAAGTAATATATAGAGTATTTTAACATGAAAATACTGAGAGTTTATTACATAGAAGGCTGCCCCTGATCCTGTACTGAACCAGAGTAATTTGTTCCTGATCTTCAAACACAGTTTCTCCTTCAAAATCCATTTTACTATTATTATCCTAGCTAAGCCTAGGTATCTTAAATTGTCTCTTCCTTTTATATTTTCTGACTAAAATTTTGTGTAATTTTTCCACATATATGCCATCTCCATCCATCTCATCTATCCATATAATAGAACTTATCTGAATTGGAGATTACAGACTTCCGGGATGTGGTGCCCTGCATTTGGTAAATATGTTACCCCAAAACAATGGTACTTGCAGTAGGTTCAGTGAGACTGTCTGTGACCTTGAGATGAGCAGTAGCTTTGCCACCAAATCAGAGGCTCAGTGCTTGAGTGCTGTGACTGAGTTAGCATTGTGCATCGACTGAAGCAGCCTCCGTAGTCTAGGGGTAACGTTCCCACCTCATGACTCAAGGTACGCGGGTTGAAGCCCGGCGGAAGTCGTGGAATTTTTATGGGCTGAAAAATTCAGGGAGGGACTTCAAGCCGTGGGTTCCGTGTCGTAGATTTACAGCACGTGAAAGATCCTCATGTCTCTAGGAGACCCCTGAGCGAAATTAGGCAAAAAGTTTCTCGCCCAAGTAGTTTCCAATGCCTCCGGTAGAGGGGGAAGTTATTGGGTACCACTGCCAGAAGAGGGCTGACCTCTCTGGCAGAAAGGGGCGGATGGCAAGCACCAGTACCGGTAGGGTATGGTGACAGTAGAAATTAAAAGGGGACGTACAATAGACTACTAGTCACGGTGCATGGGGAAACACACCCCCTCTAATACTGAATAACTGAATTGTGTGTCGAGTACCATTTTGATAACATTGGCCAGTTTGTAATTAGGCCCATGATTTTTGCGCACCTTAGAGCTCATGACCAATCAGACATCTTGTACCTACCAAATTCCACAGTATCTCATCCAACAGACCATATTCTTTACATCTGCCGCCACGAGAACTTCAGCTGTCACTTTTGTGAATTCATTGATAAATCTGGGCTTTTGAAGGATGGTATTCCTGCTCCTATATATACTGTATGCGGCTATAAGTGTTAATGTGCAGGACACAGACTGTGCAGCGGCTGCCTTGGTGGCTACGCAGAAGTTGCTGCAGACCAATTGTGTTGACTTCTCACACAAAGAGTTTTCAACCACGGGAACCTGTCGTAATGCAGCAGATCCTTTCATTCATGTCAGTAGTAAGTGAAGTATTTCATTTTAGAACTTTTTAAAGTGAAACTGGTTGCTGAACCTATTGGGACAAGCTATTCTAATCACACCTCACTCGGCTGTAACATGTGATCATGCAGTTTGTGCGTGTTGTGCATACAGATATTGCAGATTGTGGCATTTGTTATTCTTTCCACCTACTTGTTTCATTTTTAAAATTGCTGAACAGAGCGTAATGAAAATTGGTATTTTATGTGAATATCAAGACAGATTTCTCATTTTTGTAGCAGAAGTTGGTAAAATAAAGATGAAATTTTCTCTGTACTTAATTTAGCACCAGGCCTTGAATATATGTGGGTAATGGAGGTGTAGCTGCAGAAATTCTTAACCTTTAACGTACGGACTTTTAAATTGCCTGCAGCTCCCTACGGCCGGAATTTAAATGGCCCTAAGTCTTTAACATTGCAAACTTTCAGAAAAAAATGCATATTTTCCGTTCTATGCAACATCGGAATATGAACTAAAAAGAACCTGAAAGACAATAAAATTTTCTACATATATACAAAAGGGCAAGTTTTACAAATGAAAATCAACTGTGAGTATTTTGTCATGAAGTGCAAAATATAATCATTATTATATACGTTATGAAATTCCAAAGGACTTACATGTTGTTTTTCTTCAACCTTGAATCGTGGTGGCGATGTAAATATGACGACACTATATACAATAATATTTGGTTCGGACTGTACACGGGTTGGACTGCATCGCTTCACAGTTTCACTCTGACGCGCGTGTCCCACTCTCGAAGCAGTCCATCACACAGCGCGACATCACACTCTACAGCGGTAAAGCGTGCTCCCGCTTTTCTTGTTTATAGAACAAACGTCTTTGTTTCCCTTTAGCTGGTCAGTGTTTTGAATGTTTCACCTCCAGTCGACTCAGTTGGGCCCCAGATGAACTTGGCCTCCCTCGAAAAACACCACTGACCGTGATATTCGCCTCATGTGATTGAAGAATCAAATCACGCACCAAAATTTCGCGGAAATTTTTGTGCGTCATTTTTCCATCACATGACTTGTGTAACAGATATTCATTGAGAATAGACATGTCTAGTAGGTGGAAGAATACTCGCAAAATTGTGATGCAAAGTAATTGCAATAGCAGTCGAAAAGTGCCAGTCCGCCACTGATACCGAAAGTCACAGTGACGAAGATGTCTTTACGCACAAAGTAACACTGGCTCAGTGTATTTATACCACTTCCGAGATACACAATAAAAATGATATAAAAGAAATACAGGAGTCTGACACTGACTTCCTAACTTTTAACAAAATATAGTAAATCCGCCACTGACGTCCTAACTGAGAATTCAACACTGCAAACCAATCCCTGAATGAGCCACACTTCCTTGAAAGCTCTGGCAGCACTGCTATGAAAGTGCTTACGAATATTTCCTCCTCTAACTTCTCAAAACAAAGCTGACCTCTATTGGCTCACCAGGTCATAAACAGTCATATCTAAACGTAAATAGTTTCGAAACCAGTACCCTGATAAACGATTTCATTGTTCAGAGCTAACAAATAAACATCTGACATGAACGTTCATGAGTTTGTTTGGGTTTCAAACCCAAGGTCAAACTGCCAGCACTCACAAAGGAAGCACGTGGCTTGTCCCTAAAAATTATAACATTCGGCCAGCTCGGGGTGCTACTTGATGCGAATAATTATAACATTCGGCCGTTAAAGGTTAAGTTTATTACTAGATGGAAGCATGCTGTGGCTGCATTACTCCTGGAGGAAAATGCCCCCATTACCCATCAGAAGGAGTCCCATGGCTAATCTGCCCCTGCTGGAAATTGAACTCTGATTCCCCAGCATCCAGCCCATCGCCTAGTCACTCTACTAACAGCATGAGCCGTAAAATGAAATACTGATTTCAGTTAGGATCGATAACTTCCTTCTGAAACATTTCTATTTCAGTATCAAGGATACTGTCACATGATAGTGACTACATAGTGGGTTCAGGTTGGAAATGGATTTTATTGAACACCGAATACTTTTATCTCCAGCTATTCACAAATATTTATAGGGTTTCACAGTCACACAGTTCATGCTTGGATCCTTGATGCCCTGTCATCACATTGATACTAGCTTGCAGACCATCTGTGTATCACCTTGTTGCAGACCAGTGAGACAACACTGAGACAGTAGCACTTCATAGTTCTAGGCATGTCCATTGCTTGGGACATGTGTTTTGCCTTGCTGTTGCTTAGTAATGGATGCATCTATGATATTTCTGTGATTCCAATATTCTGAATTCTCCATAAGGTAGCTGGCATGACAAAATACAGGGCTGTGGTTCCAAAAGGAAGTATGTGGGTCTCCAAATGGAAAAATCACAGATCTATACTGATTACATTATGACTGGTTTTGCATGGCACAATCCATGCTTGAAAAAAAAAGAGAGAGACATGATGTTCAAGTCACAGAGCTAAATGGTTTGGCTAGTACACAGACAGCATATATCTCTTGGGAGAAAAACCTAAGACCTTAATTATACCATACCAGTATCATAAGATATACATACAAAACACAAAGGTCTGGCCAGTGAAACAACCATCAAAGCCTATCCCATGAATAAATACAAAATACAGACATTCTTTGCCATGCACAAAAATTAAGGCTTACCTTAAAACACGCATTTATAAAGTGAAGGCCCTTTTGCTGCCGGAAGAACTTGCTAAACAAAATACCAAACTTAATTTCTGCATGCTGCAAGAATCAGTAGAATACAACCTACATTTAGACATGTCTTATTCGCAAGGCTTCTGGCTAACAAAGAGAGCAACTTTGACTCACATTCACCTAAAGGCAGCCAAACTTGGAAGTAGGAAACAGGTTACCTGATCAAATCGTAAGGAAGAGTGGGGGGAACGGGAATCAAGGATGGATGGATGGATAGCACAGAACAAAACACAAAAGACAGACACCTTGATCTGGAACCAGAGCTGGAAGTCCACGTATGGCTCCATAATTCCATTAATGAGTTCTTTGCTAGTGGAATGAATATGATAAATATCACGATGCACATAATTAAATTATACTGAGCACAGTAGTTACACATTATACTTACTTACTCATGGAGCTGAGCCATTCTTGAGGAGCTGCCAATTCTTTAGCTGCTCAAGAATTTCCCAGCATTTTATGGAACCCAAAGATTCATTACCGTGTTCACAAGAGCCCTCCACTGGTCTCTATCCTGATCCAAATCAATCCAATCGATACCATCCCATCCTATCTCTCTAAGATCCATTTTAATATTGTCCACCCACCTACACCCTGGTCTTCCCAGTGGGCTCTTTCCTTCTGGCTTTCCCACCAATGTCCTATATGCATTCCTTGTCTTCCACATTCGTGCTACATGCCCTGCCCACCTCATCCTCAGTTACACATTATTATTTTGTAAAATTAAATGTTGTATTCTTCATATGATCAGGTGAAGTACGAGAGGCTGTGTTGTCCCTTCTGGCCCGTAAAGAGGAGCTGCAGGTTGAAACTCATTCCTTTAAGAGGCTTCTTGTTCAGGCTCAGGAAGAGAGTACAGAGTTGAAGGCTGAATTAGCAGAAACTAATCGCCAGCACCATGACAAAGTAGAACGTTTAGAAAGTCGAATTCAGGCGTTGCTCAGGTGAGAATTACATGAAAAATTGTAGTGTAGTTTCTCTTGCTGCTTCCTCTCAAGCTGTTAAAGTGTTAAAGAAGTTAAAAGTTTTATATGTGTAAAGAAGTGTACAAAATCTTTTCATCTTGTCTCACCTTGGCTTCTCACAGTACACTTCTGAAATCTCCCCCTAACCTCGCCACAAAAATAGTTCTTGGAAATATACCTAGAGAACCCAGGAGTTCCTGTTTGAACTCTTAAGCCTGTTTTCCTATTGCATGGACTTTCTGCTTCTACAAATTTTGTATTGTTAATGTCCTGTTGGGATAATGGAAATTTACAGTCCAGCAGTAAAGGTCAATAAAGCTCATGGGTTGGCATGGTGTACTCACATGCATATGGCCATGAGGACAAATCATGATTGAGTCATGTCATTGTTGTTTTTGATCATTTTGTTGTTATTGTGGTCATCCTCATTGTCATTGCCATTGTTGTTATTCTTGTTCCAAGAACATGAACATTTTTGCAGTTTCAAACATATTGAGGTTTCTGAAAAATTTAACAACTTCTATGCTATATATTTCAGTCTTACAAAATTTCAGAAATTTTGGTTTGTAGACATTTCCACTGCCACATTACTGAATTTGTGGCAGCTACCCTTCTTTACCTCCTGGGGAGTGACTTATGTATTCAAATTCACAATCACAGTCACTGAAACTAGCATCTTAGTCTAATTTCTCAAACATTTCTAAAATATCTCCACTTAGAGAAATTATTTACCATGGACACCACGAGACAAACAACAGGTTGATGAAAACAGATGACATATACAAATTCATATTTCTTTGATACATTGTGATCAAAGTACAAACAAACATGATTCAAAGCATTTGAAAAAATGGTGACAATTATATGGATAAGTTTATGGAAGTATTTAATAAATATGATACATAGTGTAAAGCTACAGATTTTGATTTTACTTAATCTCAGTAAGGGAGAACAACTGCCAAGAAATCAAACACACCCAGTCACCATAGCAAAGAATTTAAGGAAATCAAATAAGGCGAACATGTAGAGAGTGGGCCAGAATCCGCTGTTATTAATGGGAATGTTCAGGCTTAAACCTGCTAGTTAGTTTGTTGAATGGTATCACAGTGTTATGACTTGTGCATTGAATATGGAGGATCTAATTTTGAACAGTTTTTGTAAATTCAATTAGTAATAAAGAAATTTCTAATATATTTTATTGTACATTGTACTAACCAGATAATATTGATTTGACCCCACCATGTTATCATCGTAACCAACATACCACATTGGCAGCAAGCAAGTTGGTGGAAGCAGTAACATTTCTTGCTTATAATCAGGAAGTACCCAGTTTGAATCTTGGCATGGACAGCAGTTTCCTGACTGAAACTTTTGTAGTTTTCCTTAGTCCCTTCAGGAAGATGCCAGGATAGTATCTTAAATTATGCCATGATTGCCTCCTTTGACATCCTTCCCACATCATTATTCACCGTCATCTAGTCATTTGATGTTGTATAGTGTGAGTTATTAACAGAATTGGTACATAAACTACAAGTAAAATACATTAGGGCAAGTCTGCAAAATTTGCTTCTCCATTTCCATAACAAATCTCAGACACATTTTGTTTTATTAAATTGATGGTGATTCCAATGTGTATTCATCTGCAGGGAGAATGAGCTTTTAAAGCATCAGTTGCGTAAGTATGTGGGGGCTGTCCAGATGTTGAAGCGGGACGGCACTCAGGCACATGAAGCACTGGCCAGTCTGGAGGCATCTCAACCCAAAGCCAGAGACATCGCCTATCCAGATTATCATCACGAGGCTCGTGAATATGAGAAGAAACTAATCCAAGTGAGTTATCTGCTACCTCTTTGATTTTAAAATCAGAAGCTTTAACACCACAAATACCAGAGCCTTCCATTGGGCACAACATGGCTGTACGAAATTATTCTTGTGCCCTCATTCACTCTCTTTCACACACAATGAAAGGTATATTTAGTAGCCCTTTCTTGAGTATGCGCATAAGTGAAAATGCAATGAATAGTGTACCGGTGACCCCCAACTTACCTTATTTTGACTGATGCAGATTTTATGTTCATTCATTTTCAGATCAGATTTTTTTTGTTAATTTTTTGATTAAAGATCAAAAGATAATTAAATTATCAAGAATAAAAGAGCAGGATTCATAAGTGGTTAAAATGAATGATATTAAACTCCATGTTTTTCAATGAAAGTTGTAGGCAGTGAAACTGAAGATGCAATAGAAATGAGCAAAAATTTTATGTTACGCAACCGTGTTTGGGAGCCCAACTATTTCATAATCTGGGAAATTTATGTATGCGTGTATATGAGCATTTGCTAAGTGTACTTTAACTAGACTACAAGTACACCTGTGTTTGCTTGTAGGAAGTGCATCATGTGTCTCATTTTTGTCTATTCAGTGAAACATTTTTGAGTTTTTATACTCAAGATTTTCTGTTTATGAAATAAATTTAAAAAGCCCAGACTTGAATACTGCAAATGAAAGGCAGGAACCTTGCCACCTAAAAAGACTCTGAAATTCATAGCAGTTTGGAATGATAGGCTGAAGGTGTGGAGAATTATGAATGTAATTTGAGCCATATTTGATTGTATTTATTGAAATTTTTAAAATGTGAAGCAAATCTCGTTATCTAATGTAAAACGGGTAGTAGGAAACTTTGAAAATGAAGGATTAAAGGGCAAATACTATAAGATATATACATATTGTGATCCAGAAATAACCCTACCCCATTTTATGGCTTTCATCAACTGAGACTTTATGTAGCATTAAATGATAGGATGACTGATGAACAATTCATTAGAAACGATTTGGATGGAAGCAGTCATGGCCTAATCGAGGTACTGTCTCAGCATTTTCCTGAACGGACTGAAGAAACCCATGCAAAACTTTATTCAGGATGGCCAGTGTCTTGGCCAAGATTCATATCAAGCACCTACCTAAACCTGTGTGGTCCACCTTGCTGAATAACAAAACAGTGAAATCTCCATTCTCACTGTTAGAATGTTTGTACTCATGTAACATTTAATTTCATTGGTCTTGATGTTAAATTTTCTCAATTTAAGATTTTCCTTAGTGTAGCATTCAAATCCACTGCTCTCCAAGCCCCCACCCCCCACCCCCACCTCCAGTGAACAAGTTTCCCTGTGCTGTCATGGTCATTTTTAGCCTCAAGATAGAAACAAACCACACACCAGCAGTTGTGCAACTTCTGGTATGTTTGTTGGTATGCATAAATTGTTTACCAGTATGCATGCTAGCTATAAAAGGAAGTTTGTGTGTGTGTGCGCGTGTCGCACGCATGCAAACATGTATACAATAAAACCTATCTAAATCAGAATTAACAGGATTAAATGGAAATGTGTTATGGAAGGATGACTGAAAGAGACAGTCATCATATGGAAGTGACACATAAACATATAACAGTGCTTGTCACATTACAAGCCAGTGGCCACCATAAGAGTTAGAGAGACGTTGTTAGATACTGTGTTTTGTGTATGCTTCATGCTAAGGCTTAGCCTCAACATAAAGACCAATCCTTCACCATATCAAAGAGGAGGCCCCATTTCTCAAACCCTAAACATGTCTAGGAGAAAAGAAAAAGACGATGGTCAAAGTTTCAATGAGACCGAAAGCCAAGAATGACTGTGCTGATGAGGGCCAGCAGCAGTTTAGCAATCAGTCAATGAGTGAGGACTAGTGAGAGCCAGCGATAGGAAGTCATATAGCCAGTGAGTGACAAGTTGAAGACCAGTTAGTTGAAAGTTGACAGTGGGGCAGTGAGCTGTGAGGGAGTTGCCAGCCAATGGATACAGGAGCCACTGAACATGGAAGCTGAGGAATCTGCATTGTTGGAGCTATTACCAGGCAATAACTAGTGAAGAGGAACTTAGAAGACTTAGTGTGTGCTGTAATGAAAAGTAAAGTGCATGAATTAGTGAGAAAGTTGTAATTATTTGTAGTTACGAGTTGTAAGAGTTCAGTAAATCCAGTTATCAGTCCAAAGCCTGTGTCCGGTCAGTAACACATGACAGTATCTTAAAATTTCTCAGGTGCTGAGAAAATATAGTGAGAACCAATGTAAAATTACATTTAACAAGCAGAAACTGTTTAGCATGGAAAGAGAAATGCAAAATAACTACTTAATGGAATATCATATGTGTGACTATTTACCTTTTTCTGTGTATATAATAGATACTAACCTTGTGTAATTTGGTTTCTTGAATTTATTTATTTATTGAAGAAGAAACATTCTTGCCCTAAGTGGGAAAGAAATAATCACAATTGCCAACAAATTATGAGCTAGCGGTTAATGGGATATTGCAAAAAATGAGACAAACTGAAAATGAGAGTGTATGTGACTGAGTAACATTGTAATAAAATGTTTGTAATGTTATTTCCTGGCATATTATTTACATCTTAAATGCACAGGGTATGTATTCTGCAATATTATATAACTGAAAATCCTGTGTTAAACCAAAACTCTGAGATGGAAATAAGTTGTTGCCGCTTTTTGTATTTTATTAAAATAATATATTTCAGGTAGCAGAGATGCATGGAGAACTTATGGAGTTCAATGACCGCTTACATCGACTTCTTCAGCAAAAAGATGCTGCCTTGCGCCGATTACGTGAAGAGCTTGTTGATCTGCGTGGGCCTCTACCTGATGATGTTGCTACTTCCGATGATGATCTTAGTGTGACCAGTGACTATGATACTAGTTCTCTCTGTGCCGCTGCCCGGGCACTTGTTAACATTTGGATACCATCAGCTTTCCTTACAGGTGGTTCTTCTGATGTCCATCATGTGTATCAGGTCAGTGTGACATATCAAAATATTAAATAAATCGTAAAACTACTGAAGAGTTACTGATGGGTAACATTTTTGGCCCACAATTAATAGTCTACTGTTTTTCTGTAGAATTGTGTTTGTTTATAGATTGGGAAAAGTTTTATTTCCCTGTCAACCTTTACTTGAGTAAGAACATAGTGTATTTTTTTGCCACAGTTTTAACCAGTTAAATGGGTATGACATCTTAACATATTATGCGCTACTCTGTATTATAGTGTGTATGACATTTGTACGCTGGTCACGGTAGCCGAGCAGTCTAAGGCATGCACTGTCTTCGCTCGCTCGGAAGCCGGGATCGTGGGTTCGAATCTTACTCAGGGCATGGATGTTTGTGTGCATTTTTCTGTGTTTGTCTACAGGTAGAGGCCTTGCGACGAGCTGATCACTTGCCCAAGGAGTCCTACTGAATGTGTAAGATCTAGTAAACCGAAGTGAAACGGAGAGTTTCATGGAGGTAGGCCTAGGCCCAAATTGGGGGTTGTAGTGCCACAGAAAAAAAAAATGACATTTGTACACATCATGCATGATTCCAACAACACCATAGCAGATATAATGACAGTCAGCAATGCAAAATTGTACGTTGTGTTTGTTAGATTTTCTAGTTACTTCACAGTATGACAGGAAGGTGCTGATTGCTTGATATCTGTCCTGGGTTTGAGTTTTTGCAATTAAACATTATGGTAGGTCCTAGTAAGAAGATTTGTATGAGCGATGAGGACGTGTTACGTGAGCTGTTGCAAGAGAATTGATATAGTGATATTTCTGAGAGCAAATATAGTAGTGACAGTGAAATAAATGTGAAAATTCTGTCATGTGGTGAATATAGTGTCAGCTGTGATGAAGCAGAGAATATCAGTGACAATAGTAGCATGGCATATGGGCAAAGTCACATGGTGAGCAACCATGTTTTCCATTTATCAGCAAGCCTGGTATAAATCTTGATTTAGAAGACCCCAGTAACCCCCTGGAATATTTTGAGTTGTTTTTTACACCAGAATTAATAGCCAGAGAANAACGTCGGTTAACACCACATATACACGGCGCCAAATCCCAGAAGACTGCTTTCTTCACACCTAATGTGAAACTAAAATCTAGGATTCATTGCTCGAAGGATATGAACAGAATTGGAATAATGAAGTTGCTGGCATTCTTTCTGCTACAAGGACTTCACCAGAAACTGGATAGCAAGAGCTATTTTTTGTCAGAGGAAAATTTCTTTAAATGACCATATTTTTGGAGCTGCTCCAGGAGAGGTTTCACCTTCTACTCAAGTTTCTTCATTTTGTAACGAAAGTTACAATGCGGCTACTTGCGCTTCCAAAAGACTGTGTAAACTGGATCATCTAATGCCAAATTTAGGAGTATATATATCCCAGAGAGTGAAGAGTCTTTGATGATGTGGAAGGGACGTTTGTCATGGAAGGTATACATTCCTTCAAAACATGCCAGATTATGTATAAAATCATTTGAATTGTGTGACGCCAAATCAGGTTATGTATTAAATTTTATTATTTACATTGGGCAAGATACAATTTTGGATGGGTTCCTAAGAAAATGAGCCATATGGCCCAGAAGTAGTTCTGTAACTAATGGCTCCTCAACAGAATTAGGGATACCATATTGGTTTTCAAACTGCGATTTGTTCCATAAGCTGTGCAGGAAACAGACTGATGCTGTGGAAACCTTGCATCAAAACAGGAAGGGCATCCCTGCTGAAGGAATGCAAAACTGAAAAGGGTGGAATTATTTATAATGAAGTGGAAAAATAAAAGATATATTTATCTTATGAGTACCACTGATGATGACAAAATGTTTCCAACTATGGTTCGAGGGCAAAACATGGAGAATCCCAAAGCAGTCATTAGGGACCTCAGTGATACTTGACAAGCTATCACAGCACAAGGAAAAGACTAAAAAGATACTATCAAAAGCACTTCCGTCATTTGATTAATATCTGTTATCTGGAGTCATATTTACAAAAAAATAGCAGCACCATTTCCATGATGGAATTTCAAGTGGGAATTATAGAAAATTAAATTTCAGAATATCATATGACAGAAGAGAAACCATTAGGCAGACCACCAAAAACTGCCCCACAAACACGGATGAATGCTTCTCACTATTCCTTCTACATTGCTACCACAGTGTCAAGGCAAATTATGCAGTTGGAGATAAAATAGCCCAGGATACAGACCTGGCTTTTCATTATGTTGCATTGTTATTGCAGGTTTACATTCGTATACGTGATGATGAGTGGAATATCTATAGGCGCTATGCTCAGTTCTACTCTTTACATAAAGAGCTGAAGAAACATGATGCTATTGTCAGCACCTTTGACTTTCCACCTAAAAAGACTTTGGGCAATAAGGTAAGAAATACAGTCAGAACATTAAAGTATCTACCAATGCATCTGATGTGGAATAAATGCCACTGGCAGAGTGTAGGTGAAGATAGTTTAAATTGATTCTGTTTTGATGCTTTTAGTTTAATGATCATTGTAATAACATTGTGCAACACATTTTTTTACCTTAATGGGCAATTTTGGTGTGTGTGCATACATACATGCATGCATACATGCATGCATGTTTATGTATATATAACATAACACTGCGGATAAGTCATTACAGTTTCATCACATGTTGCCTGCATTTGTAATGCCTCCTGGTAGATTGGAACTATGCAAGACAAAAGAACTCATAAAGCCTCATGAATTTTTGTTAGTTTTCCTGACCCCAAAGAAATTAATGCTGCTAGATAAAAGAAATAGATATTTGTTATATCTGCAGTAGGCATCAATACTGAAAGATCAAACAAAGTACCATGAATAAACTGAAAAATGAGTTACCTAGATGCAAAGCAGTATTGCTAAAACATCATCTAAAAGTATAATTTTGGGCCTGTATTATTAAATAGTTTCCTTACATTAATAGATAGTTGTGCATTTATTTAAATCACACTTTGCTTCAAGCAATGTGCAGTAATATGTTTCATTTATATGCTGAAGTACCCAATGTCACATTCCAGAAGACAGTATCTTCCTAATTTGTATATATTGTTTCACAGGTACCAATATGGTCATTGTTAAATGTATGAGCAGGTAACTATTAGTAGACCTGTATAAATGATGCGTAAGAAATAATGATTTTTTTTTATAAGTCATGAATTTGGTATATTTTGACTTTGTCTTTTTTGAAACTAATCATTTATCAGTATGTAATTACTGTTCTTTTCTCAAGTTATATTGAGGGTAATGCTGCACATACAACTGTACATGTTCTGGTATGCTGCAAGATACTGAACTATATTTTGCCGTCATGTATCTAATATGGAGATGGTGTGTTATACGTGCAGGATGCCAGGTTTGTTGAGGAACGTCGTCGCAGACTGCAGCATTACTTACGTTGTGTAATGAATCATTTAGTGCAAACAAATATTGATCTTGCCACTGCACCGGACAAGGAGCTTCTCATAGGACTTGTACCGTTCTTTGGGTGAGTTTCCCATCTGTCTAGTAATATTATATGATGGCATTAGAAACCTTCTCAGGCAATCAGCCTCATGACAGTTGATGTGAAAACCATCTCATGGTTGTGTTGTGATGGATTCTAATAAAGATTCTTGTATAATAAACACAACAGGATGCACTCAATGAAGAGGACATCATTGGGAGACACTACTAAGCAACAGCCAGTGAAGACATAGCAAACTAAGAAGACTAACCTAGATAGACTAAGAAGACCTTCCTAATGGCGCATTCAAAAGAAAAGTTGAAAAGCATTGGAGATATAGCATCTCATTTTAGACCACTTTGGATAGGGAAATTATCAGACAAATGTTTGCCTATACGGACTTTACTATACATTGCATTTAAACACATTTTAATCAACCTAACTAGTTTCATGGATTCCCCAAACTCTATGAGAATATTGCACAATACTTCTCTCCTTACTGAATCATAGGCTTTCTTGAAGCCTGTGAATAGCTGATGTACTGTCTCATTGTGCTCCCATTTTTTTCCTCCAGTATCTGATGAATACAAAAAATCTGATCACTATTTGATCTGTTATGTCAAAAATAACACTGATGATCCCAATAATTTTGTCTACATATGAACTTTACCTTGAGAGAAGAATATTGGATAACATTTAGTAAGAAGTTGATAGTGATATCCCACAATTACTACAGTCAGTTTCAAATTTCTTGCTATAAATTGGTTACTAACACATGACAATATGCACAATATGGCACTAAATTTTAAATATAGGTACAATAATGTTGGTTCTTCTTTGAAGTAATTATAACATATATAAAAATAACGAATAATTCAAAATGTCATTGTCAGTAGCATCTGAACTGAAAGAATTAAAAATGTTCTTAGACTTCCATGAAGTCTGTAGATCCCATGCCTGCGGTGCTGCACTGGTAGCACTGATCTCATATCGTCATGTTCGTGACACTGTCACAGATTGAGATCGCGAAATGAATTTCACCAATGTGTACTCATGATGAATGGCTGTTTGTGGATCCCGCCATTTAACAGTATTCTAACCACTTGAGTTCTTTGGTGTCATTGTGTGGTATTTTTTAAACAGAGATGTGTGTAACAGTGTGGATGACAGAAGCCGACGAAAACGACCAAATTCACGCAACTTGTTCTCAAGACTGGCTCGTAGTGGAGCAGAAAACAACCAGACACTGGAGCATTCCCCTCACTACACAGGACTATAACAGAGGCGCAGTGGGTGAGTGTGACAAAATGGTTGTTGGTGTTCCCTTAAACATAAAATGAGGCTGTTCACAAGCTGTTCTGAAGTGTGTTATGCTCTATTTATTACTTTGATTTAGACATCCAAAACAACAAGGAGTAAATGATGGACCCTCTGATTTCTCCACATAATCGCCAGACCAACTGAGACATTTGTCCCAGTGATGTACCACATGTTTAATCACACAAGGATCCATTGTTTCCACCTGCACATGCACCTTGGGTTTCATCTTATCATCATGTCAGAAATTATTCCCTTCAGCAGGTTTCCTCAGTGATCCAGAAGTGGAAATCACTAGGCACAATGTCCAGGCTGAATGCTGGATAGGGAAGACTGTCCCAGCAATCTGTGAGAATGTTTTTATTGACAGTATTTTGGGGTATAAAGGACATCGTTCTTCTTCAGTTCCTGCATGGTGGGATCACAGTGAATGTTGTACTGTTATTACACAGCACTGTGATAGCCATTTGGTTGAGGTACCCTTCCCCGTGCAGCTGATATTACAGCACCACTCCTGGAGCTGTTTCAGTGGGGACATTATGTCTTGTGCCAAGGAATTTACACTTCTTTGTACCACTGAGGGAACACTTCAATAGAAAAATCTTCAGATATGAGATGAAAGGAAGATGTATCAATGGGTGCAAACACAGTCATTATTTCTTTTCTGTGGGAATTCAGCATGTGGTGTACCACTGGGACAAACTTCTGAGCCACTCTGGTGATTATGTATAGACATAGAGGATTTATTTCTTATTTCATGTTTTTTTTACTTCATTTCAAAATAATTAAAACAAGTGTAACACACCCAAGGATTCAGGACTACTTGGTTCTTGGACTTTGTCCATCATCTGGTATTCTATAAAATGCAAAAGAACGTTTTGGAAACTGGACCTGTTTCCATCCTCGGGTAAGGGGTGGGAGACATCTGCTCTTTTTGATCAGCTAGAATGAGCTAACCTCAATCACTGGACCATCAAGTGACTGAGGTTAGCTCTTTCTAACCAATCCAACAGAGCAGATGTCTCCAAACCCTCACCTGAGGATGGAAACAGATCCAGTTTCTGAAACATTGTGCTCTTTTGCATTTTATAGAATACCAGACGAGGGACAAAGTCAAAAACCCCAATATTCCTTAGTGTTATACATCATTGTCAGACCCTTGGATATTACTTATTGAACATCCTTGTGTTAGTATGAACATTACTCTTGTACTCATTCTCCAATTCTCATATGTGTAAATAATCAGTTATAAAGGATATACTGTTTTTATTAAAGATGTTGAAAGCTATACTTCAGACTTTTTAGTTATACATAATACAATAACTAGGCATGTTACAGTGCAACATAAATTAGACATGTTTCATACTATGGTCACTAGGGGATACAGAAGTCTTACCTGTATTCTTAATTTAAATTAAGACAGACATAGCTCAAGAAATGGTTGTGCTTAAATAAATACAGCACAGGTTAAAGTTATTCCTTGGAAGAAATACAACCATCAGCATTACTGAGAGGGAGATTATTGTTTTGGGACGTGTTGTTATCCTTGCCCTCATCTAGTCAGAACAAGTACGTATGTCGCCTCTACCTCCAATTCTGGCTTGTGAAAGCTCCTTTGTGACTGATTCTTCCAGTTTCTTAACACCAAAGTCTCTGTAATATTTCATTCGGACAGTATGACGGAGGTGACATATGATCAGCTAGATGCTGCTGTGCATCAACCAAAGGATACTGAAGGGCTGCATATGAATGCAATGGAACCCATCAAGAAGGTGACACAGGAATCCCAGTGTCTAAAGAGCTGAATGATGATCTCACCAGCGGAAGCACATCATGTCATTCCTTCCCAGACTCAAGCATTTATTGAGAAGAAACTAATAAGATACCAACATTATTATTAATTAATTTTACCTGTACCCAACTGTGGAATTTAAGAGCAGATGAAAATGCAAGCATATAACATTGTTTGCGGTTCAAAATGAAGTTATTTACATACAGTACATGCTTCATTCTTTGGAGCTTTAGTGTTACAGTTTTTGCACTTACATTTTTGCCAGTTATTGAGCTGTGTTTGTCAGTGATTCTACCGAAAATACAGTGTAATCTCGATATATCAAGAATTTGTAAAGTTAAAAAGATCCCTGTTTTAATTGTTACTTGCAATATCTGAAAATGATGAAATTATGAATATATAATCTTGAAGTCTGTCTCCCAACTTCTGATTACATGTATCACAGTACAACACCAGTATTTAAAAAGTATGGCAACATTTATTCTCTTTTGAAGTGACTATTGAAAGTATGAAAATAATGAAGAACAATTCAACATTCTCAATGCTTTTAGAATTATCTGAACCCTAAAGTTAAAGATGTTCTCATACGTAACATAACATCTTGTACCCACAACCAGTTGCGTAAGAGGAACCATCTTTTATGAACAAGTCTTGCCCACTATTTGCTGTGCACCTGCAGTATGTAAAGTTAAGGTGACTCTTACATAAGCACGCTACATTACAGCCCAGTTCGAAACTCAATCAAGTTGCCTGGCACTTTGGGCACTCTAATAACCCCCCCCCACACACACACACACACACACACACACACACTTTTTTCCCCTCTGACATGGGCAAGCCTCTGTTTGTACCACTGAAACCTCTCTATCTTTAACCATGCTGTGAAGTTGTTGGATGTTCCTTGATCATTTATCTTTATATCTGCCACATTCAAATCTAAGCACTTGTTTTTGTATTCCTAAGTAAAGTTGAACATTTTTTTAACTTAATTCACTGACAATCACAGTACAATGCATGATAATTAGCATTATGCATTTTTATGTTCGCAATGCCTTTTTATGGGCCACCACCAAATGAAATTTGACAGTGAGAGTCCTCAAGTATATGTTGAAAATCCAATGTTCATGACATGTTTTTTTTGTGACTGCTTGTTTATGAGAAAGACATTAGGCCTACCATTCAGGACATTATCCTTTTATGTTGCAATGCTTTGCCTGTAAACTTGATTTTCAAGTTTGGTCCTATGTAGTGATAATTATATAATGTAACAAAACTGTTCATTTTAAATGAGTATGTCTATTGGTCATTACTAAAATAATAATGTTGGACCCCTGAAAACATACAGGGGAAGAAATATATATGAGTTATAAGAAGTTCCTTTTCATAATCTATGTATATAGCAGCAACTGGAGCTGCATGCAGGGCTTGATACAACTCAGGATGGAAAGCCATCATTCTTTCTGTGCTTTAGATTTTAAGTTGGACTTATACAAATGAATGTTGTGTGTGTATGTATGTGTATGTAAGTGTATAAGTGTCGAAAACTTTATGGTGACCAATATGATCTTAAGGGGATGTGCACTTTATGCTTTGTTAATTACCCGTATATTTACNCTTATACAAATGAATGTTGTGTGTGTATGTATGTGTATGTAAGTGTTAAGTGTCTAAAACTTTATGGTGACCAGTATGATCTTAAGTGGATGTGCACTTTATGCTTTGTTAATTACCCATATATTTATATGTTGTCACGTGTTACTGTGGCTATAGACAGGGTTTGGATTGGTGATATGATTTATCGAACATATTAACACACAACTTGTGACTGCATATTACAGTTCACTCTTACACACACACACGCACACTAATGTTCCCAGTTAGTTACAGTCTCCACTAGTGTCCTGGTAACAGTTTCCAATGGCGGATGTTCCCTGAACTATCCCCATGCCTCAGCTACCAGCTTCTAACAGCAACAGCTCACAATGACTGACCTGCAGTTCTCCAACTCACTAACTCACCAACCAACTCTTCACTTTCCTGCACTGTACTGCAGTGACTCGCTCCTACACTGGCGGCTGTCTCACACCAACTCCTACTCTTCTGATCGTCTCCAACTCAGTTCTCATATTTACATTCTTACTGGCTGGCAAATGTCTCATAACTAACTCATTGCTCCGACTGAGTAACACTCAGGCTGGAGGCCATCTCACATCAACCTTTTACTTTTCTCTTCACTGACTGACTGAAGCTTCCAGTTAGTCCCACTTATAACATCTCAGCAAGGACCACAAAGAAAACACCACTTCACATTGTAGTTGAGTCGATTCCATGGGAACATGTTTGTTTGCGAAGCTGTTACTCAGCATTTGCTCTTCCATATTTGCTTATCTCACATTTGTTGTCCAGCCATGGGTCTGCATGCTACAATGTTTTTTTTCCCCCTCAAATACCCTGTGTTTTTTTTCTAGGCAACTCAAAATTGTGGTTCATGGCATATTCTTGACAAGGCTGGTAATGATTTGCAGCTTATTAATTATAGCATTCATAAGACTAATTCTGAATGCCATCTTAACTTTCACAACTTCTAAACTGCACTAAAATGAAGTCACAGTGCATGAGTGGGTGTTAATCTTTGAGATATTATATGCAATTTTTGTATCTCCTAAATGAATATAAAAGATTATGTTCTTTCANCACAATCAGTGAAAACTGGAAATAATACAAAAATTCAGCATAATGAATTTCACCACTGATAGAAAATAAAATGTTATTGAAAGTTGTATGAGAGATATTCTGAAAGAGAAGACAGCCTTTGTGAATACATAAGTAAGAAGCAGCATTGCACAAGTATGCCTTATCAACAAGAATGTGCCAGTTTCAGGCCTTAGCATTCACAAAAGAATGTGGACAAATTTTCAAGGCCAGCAGGTGATGGATCAAGCATTTGTTTAGAATAAACTATTTATGTAAGAAAAGAAGTCTCTCCCAATGGCAGTATATCAGATCCTGAAGAGTATGAGGCTGTAGTGAAAATAAACTAAGCATATGATTTCTTAATTTAAAGACTTTATGTATTCACATAGAATATTTACACTACAGTCCCATCAACAATGCAACCACTTTATTCCTTACAGTTTTCACTTTTTACAACATGTTTCGGCCCAAACATCTTCTACAGTGAGGACAACACCATACACTGGTGGACTGAATGATGTATAGACAAGGGCAAACATAACCACAGCAGTGGGCTTGCACATTTAAACAACAGGCTGCCGACACAAAAACAAGGACGGTCGAAATATATACTGTTTGGACAAGTGGGTGACACCTAGAGAGATGTAGGAAGTGGACAAAATTTAAGAAGAATAATTAAAAAAATTAAAAATGTAAAATTTAAATTGAATTTTAAAAACTTTAATGAAATTTTAGTTAATTGCAATAGAAAGTGAGTCATGGTGTATGGTGGATTGACTGATGTTAGCTGGATTGTAACCACTTAGACCACTGTAGGTCACTGTGCAAAGGCTGAGAAGGCCCACTCCTTATACATACATTCAACCATAACATTAATATGGTACAGTACAGTTACATGTGAAATCTATGACCAGTCTTTCAATGGAGGTAACACTTTTGGCAAATTTAAGTACCAGATGATGGCTGGTTGGGGCCGAAACATGTTATAAGAAGTGAAAATTCTAAGGAATAAAGTGGTTCCATTGTTGACAGAACTGTAATGTAAATATTCTATGTGAATGTTATAGAAATGCAACAGGATGCTTAAATACAATATTGTAAATAGACATGTATTATATACACTTACATATATACTCAACATATATATACTGTAATAATTAAATTCATGTATGTTTTTTCTGTTTCACAAGTTTGGGATGTGCAGGGTATTCCAGAAAATGTGGTATTTGTTTATATTAAGTGTTATTACATTTCCAGTAATGATGTAAGATGTCATGAATGACAGTCATTGCTTATGTACATTAAATGACATGTATACTCTGTAACGTTTATGACATATTGTGTCATGTTAAGTCTGTTTTCATCTATATTTTATCATTTGTATCATTCAAAAAATCAGTTATACATCCTTTGCTGAAATGGTATGGCAGCTGAGGGTAGACTTACATGCAGGATGTTCCAGAGAAGGGGTTAAAAGCATGAAGTGAACATGTTTTATGAAGTGGCATAACCCTTATGTTAATACAAAACCTTTTTGTGTGTGCACAGATTTCATGCTCTCATTTTGAAAATTCTCATAGTATTAAGTTCTTACCTTTCATCACATGCATTTTTCAATCAGATTTACGTAAGCATTCGGCTTTGTCTTTCCTGCTTTTGTATTTGTTTAATTATTTTATGCCTGAAATAAAAATATGAAAACCTACAGCACATAAAAACAGTCTCTTATAAAGGGCATATTATATATTAGGCATACATCTGTGTGCATGGCCTAATTTTTGCTAAAGAGGAATAAATCTGTGTAAGATTTTAAACTTTTGCAGTGAGTGAATGCACTAAAATTTTATTGGGCAATAGCACATAAAAATTTATTTATAAACAGTTTTGAAGACCTTCTCTGTCTCCATCATCAGGGTCACTGTGGGAAATGACCAGATGTTGCTGATATGTATATGTACGTATATGCATCTAATGGTCATTTCCCACATTGACCCTGATGCTGCATACACCGCAGGTCTCCAAAGTGTTGGTTTCTAATTCAGTTTTGACATGGCAGAATGACAGATAAGATTTTAATGAAAATGTTTAAGCTGTGCTTTTCTGTGTTGAGATGCTAGACTGTTTGCACCTTTGTTTTTATAGTGTTATAATTATTAGGAATTCAAGTGGACATCATGAAGAAGTAAGGAGGCTGATATGCCTCCAGCTGCCTACATCAGAATTTGATGTCCCTTTGACAGATTTGTAGTTGATTAAAGTTTCCTAGTTACAATTTTGATATTTATGCCATCCATCTCTTCTTTATTACAGTATAACACCCATGTAATATTCCTTGGTTTAAGGATTTTCCTCACTTAACCTTCAACTTCAGCAATCCAATTAATGTATAAAGGGTGGGCCTTCTCAGCTCTTGCACCGCAACCTACAGTGATCTATTCTGCTTAGCAATCCAAAGTCAAGAATTTCAGTGTAAATTTCCTCCATTCGAGATTTTCCTCAGATTTCTGTTCAAATCTGCTGCTTCCCAAATAAACCTTACTTAGTGTTTACACTATATTTACTGGCATATGTATAATGACTGATCAGAAATTCAGTAGTAAATGCAGCATTTTCAAGTAAATAAAACTTTGAAAGTTGACTGGAAAGTTCTCAGAAGAATAAACAGGTAGAAATTAAACTTGTACAGTAAACAACTGAGCAAGTTCTTTTAATCTCTGGTAAATTGTAACAAAACATATGCATGCATCAGTGACACAAAATGCTAAAATATGCTGGTAGGAGGGTTTGGATATTGAAACATATCTGTGAGTCTGTTCTGTAATGGGGTGATTAACAGGATTCAAAATTTAGACAAACTTCAGGGATAAATTATCTGTTATATGAGTCAAACTCTGTATAGTATAAACAGAGAAAAAGTATGTGGATTTATAGGATTTGAGGTTCCCTTCATTGTGGATATTTAAATTATGATCTTCTGATATATGACACAATGTAAAGTTTGCCCTTTTTAATGTTCAGTTTCAACGATCCCGCATCAATAATCTCAGTGTTAAATTATCTCATTTTAAAGTTTGCCTCAGTTCAATGTTCAGAGCCACTCCTCCCTGCCAAAAAAATGTTGATAAGAACTAATCACCTACTTTCCTTTGATATGACACCTCTAACAATTCTTCGTTGCGACAGGAATAATAGGCGGGTGCACAGACATTCAACAGTTCTCTTGTTGCATGTATAGGGGAGGGGATTCACAGACAGAATGGAAACTGTATAAGCCTACTTTAATTTTTTCAAAATAAGGAAGGTAGGCTAAAAATTAAACACCCTAAAAATATCTGGGCTGATAGCACCACACATCAAGGTTTCAAATAGAACAGGCAAAGGTTAAAAGATGTCATAACTGCTTCCTCCTGAATCACTCTCAATTCATTGCCATTCATCTTGCCATGTCATTCAACACCAAATAACCCCAGCAGGCAATACAGCATCATAAAGCAACAGAAGAAAATAAAATAAAATAAAATTCAGGGTTTAGGGATTAAACTTAAAAACTTGATTTTAACTTCACATTCACCATCTCGCATGCAAACTTGTGTTAAAATCATATAATTCACTCTAATTTTAAATTATGTTTCACAACTCTGGTGCACTATATGTTTTGACTGATGTCATCATCAGATGTTTAAAAAATTACTGCACTTCCACTAATGATACAATTCCAAAATATACTCTTGCTTATGCGCCAATATTTTACTGTATGTGTAACATGTATTGGTAATTGTGTTAGTATTTCCCTGTAGTATGCATTGGTGTTCCTTATAATGTAGTTGGATGTGTACTTGTAGTGCAGGGTTATTCCTCATACTTGTGTGCAGCTGTTTTTGAGCGTTCAGAGGAGAGCAGAGCATAAGCTTGC